AAAAGCGATCGCAAACCTCATTTGACTTGATCGGAGAAAATATGCGAGTAATAGGCACTCACTCCAGGGTGGATCAGCGTGGAATTAGGTGTGGGCTAAGCAGAATAGTTATGGCAGCGCTAAGCTGTTTCCACCCCAGTCAATCCCATGGATTTCTCTCTTGCCATTTCGATAGATCCTCCTTATAAGCTGGTAGTCTTTCGTCTGCTGAAGATCTTCACTCAACAATAGACTGGACTCACGTAACGAAACCATTTGGGGGACTTGGATCCCCCACACAAAAAGGCAAACAAAAATCTATTCACATGCGATTCCATTCCACCTTATTGTGCGACTCTTGGACTCCAACTTAGGTTGAATTCCGTTTATGTCTGCTCACTTGTTCGCTGTTCGGTTGCTGTGGACAAGATCAATGTTAAAATATTTGCCACCGAACGTGCCTGATGAATATGTAAACAAAATTCGCATATAACACTTACCCACACATATGTATGCCCATATGTGTACATACATGCCCGCCCTCACACTCACATGCATATATGGATATCTTGTTTGGGTTAATGTAAATGTTAACGTTAATGTAAATGCATTCACTGATGGGCAATTTAAAAAAGTTCACCAAATTGTCTGACGTCGTCATGCAAATTTAATTTGACTTGTTTTCCCTTTGCGGTTTCCGTTTCTGCTCTTTTCACCATCCACAGACACAGACACAGCCACAGCCACACACGTTCCCATACAACATCTGTACATATGTATGTACATATGTATATCTATGCATAACTTGGGCACTTAAGTCTTTGTACTCTTGTAGGCCCTGAGGGTATTATGGATACAGAGCTATCAAGGAAGATTTCCCCAAGCCAGGATTAGAAGTCCTTCAGCTAATCTTTAGGGTAGGTGATTAATACACAGCTTTGTTAGCCTAATCTGTTCGGCTATCGACATCTTTGAGGCATCTATGTATGTATATTCTATCTATTCTTCCAGAAACTGATGGCGAAAACATCACAAAGTGATGTTGCCTGCCGCCAGGGTACATGCAGTCTCGGTGTTGCTCATTTCTGTTTTGATTGCTTGCATATAGTCGCACGTAAAAGCAGTGAGTAAATCCAAGAGAAATACCTGAATGATGTGATGGCGGCGTGGGTGCCTTTCACTCAACTCCGTTTCGGGGCTGGCCAGCCGTGCCATGTCAAAGTTGGACTCGGCTCGTGTGTGTGCAGTGGCTGTGGCTGTGGCTGTGGCTGCAACTGCAACTGGAAATGATTCAATTTCACGACCATTCATTCCGCTAGGAGTACGCGATTTGGCGCAATTAGCAAAGCAGCCAGCAGCCAGCAGCCGGCAGGGGCAGGGGCAGGGACAGATGCGCACGCAATGCATGCAGCTGCCACACCCACAGACGCCCACAGACAAAAAGGAAATCCACTTGAGGGGACAAGGCACTCGTCCAGCTAAACGAGAAACGCCCGCTATCAGGCGGCTGTCAGGGGAGGATAGTGGGAGAAAAGGTTCCGCCGACCTTGCAGCGACCGCGCCGGCGATTGCTCCACAATTTAATGGGCTTGGACTTTGTCGTGGCTAATGACCGCACGAAGGCGGACACTGAGACAGAGGCACGGGCACAGAATCGCTGACCTTTCGCCAGCCGTGCATTGTCGACTTGACGCGCAGCAACTGAAGCGAAGCGCAGACCACTCCAGCCCCAAGTCCGGTATGGCCGAGACCAAGTCTAGCCGATGCAGCCGATACCCTAACCTAACCCCTGCGTAAGCGGCAGCTTGGCTGAGCTCCTCCCTGCGCGCAGGTGGGAAAGTGTGCTTGGCGAAATGTTGCCAGTCATATTGTCTGGCGACAACCGCTGCCAGAGTGGCTCGGATGTGGATGTGGACGCAATCAAGCGGCGAACGAAACGCACAGCGGCCAGCGGTGCGCTTCGATGAGCTTAAGCCGGGAACGGAACGGAACGGCGTAGGCTCTCGCTTCGGCTTCGGCTTCGGATTGCGACACTTCAACTCAACCAAAGAGCAGCATTTCGAGGGCTCTTGGCCTGGAGGTTGCAACGCCACCACCTCCGCCCCGCACTGCCACAGGTTGCCAGCGGATATTATAGTTGTGGTCGGGGTAACCATCAAATATATGGTAAAACATCAAAATGTCCAACTGCCGGAACAGATTTTACGGCTGACTGGTACTCAATTGGGAAATTCTTCCAATCTCTGTACAACTTTGGCTGCAGCTAACTTTTTAGCAATATGCAAATCAGTTCTTAAGCAATAAACGCAATTCGCAAACGAAATTCCATTCCAAATATGTTTGAGCGAACATTTGAATCGCGGAGTTTACGCGCCCTTTGCACTACTATTTTCATCTCACTCTAACACACAATTTCACCCGCTATTCATATGCGAGCGCATTACGGTGTGTGTGCAAACGGGATAGCAGTAGCTGCATGAACTAGTTCCAGCATAATTGGTTCACTAACAGTTTGCAGTGCTGCAAAATGCTCGTTTTAATTTGAATTCAAATTTGAATTTAATTTATTTATTAATATTTTTGATAAAATTGCGTTTCAATCAAAGAGAGGATACATTGTTGATTAAATAAAGTATAATGAAGCAACTCAAACAATTTCTGCAAATAAAAAGCACATCAATGGGATAAACACATGCACAAAACACAGTTTACTTACTTTTCTTGGTGGAGGTCCAACCGATTTTAGCATTTGCCTGAATGTTGTGATTCTTTAGCCAGTTCAAAACGGGCTCATAGTACTCCAGAAGCGCCAGGCTGCTGAGGCTGGCGTTATTGGGCAATATTTTGCCCACAACTTCTTTCCAGGGCCGTGTGGAGCCCAAAGACATCATTGACCTGGAATGGTAAATCACAGATTGATGTCAAAGTTTGATTGATAGGAGAGAGAATAACCTGCCTTAGATCATTTCCCACCGCATTGTTGCCATAGAAATCGCAATTGTGGAGCTGTCCCCGGTGGTGGCTCTTCTGGCAGAGGGCCCGATAGAACTGATAGCCCAGTATCTCGGAGATGAATTTCCTGCAAGCGGAGGATGGAACTTGATGGAACACACTTTCACCAGCCAGCCACTGGAAACTCACTGAGTCTGGAAATTCTGATCGATGTTCACGTAGAACTTGTAGGGGAAATCGATGGCTCCCTCCGCGCGGTCCGATGGTGGCTCAATGCCCGCATGCAGTTCCAGCAGTCGCCAGTAGTGCCTGTTCACGGTGTCCATGTCCACGGTGTCGTTCAGCAGGTCATGCATCACCTTGGTGTGCACATAGTACAGGGGAATGTTGAGTACCGTGTGGATGCTCTGGTCGGAGGAGGATGCTGTGATTAGTGGAAAAATGAACTCTTGCCGAAGCCAGCACTCACCATTCGGAACAGACGATTCATCAGAGCCTTTTCGGTGAACTGCACCCCCTTGGCCAGTCCGCGTCCGGTCAGATGAGCGGGCGAGGAGGCAGACAGGACGACCGCCTCGCCCACAGGAAACTCCAAGTTGTACGCCTTGAAGTAGTACGAGGGCAGCTGGCTCTTCTGGTTGGCGTAGTAGACGCGGGCCATGTGGCTGTGGTATTGCATCAGCTTCCTAAAGCTGACCTTCTCGCAGTACATGAGATATACGTGCGGGGTCAGGTCAAAGATGGACGGGCGGCAGTCGTCGTCCGGCTTGTCCTCGTTTGGCTCTCTTATCTGATTCTTATGGAAGTCGGCGGAGAGTGGCTGGAAGCCCAGCGATGTGTAAAAGCTCTCGGACTCATTGATCAGCGCCTTGGCAGTGAGATGCGTCACAAAGTCATCGTACTGCGGCAGCTCCGAGCGCGGAAAGAAGTCTTCCAGCACACTGTCCGGTCCCCAGGCCTGCTCAAGCACCTGCTGGAACAGATGGTCGGGTATGGGGCCATTGGGATCAATCACATCGGCTCCGTACTTCTTGAACAGCTGCTCGCGGACAAACGAGTGCAGCTGCTGATAGAAGGGCTTCAGCTCCGCCATCGCCTGCTCCATCTGCTGCAGCATTTCGTGGCTATCGAAGCGATACCAGAGCTTGTGGACAGGCACCTCCAGGATCCTCGCTGCCTTCTGGTACGACTGCACGATGGTGTAGAAGTTGAGCGAGGCCCAGAGCTGGTTCTTCTCGCGCCACGTCTCCCAGTAGTACTTCAGCTCGTCAGAGTCCTTGCTCTGCTGCACGATCCTCTGTATGTCCGGGTAGTAGGCAATGGGGCTGTCGTCCTCATCGGGCATCTTGGCCCCACCCAGATACGGCTCAATGTCCTTGTCCGTGGAGAGCGTCTGCAGCGCCACCAGGTTCATCTGCACCGACGAAAAGTATTCGTCGCCCAGCACAAACAGGTCGCCAACGCTGCGCAATTCCTGCAGAGCATGCTTCGCCTCTACGTTTTGGACTCTGCTCAGATCGAAGCCGCTGGCCTGCCGGGAAATGCTGACCAGTTCGTCAGCGATCCTCTTCACATTCGTCAGCTTGGTGAACAGCGCCTCGAAGTCGTCCTCATTGTTGGCCGCGTACGTCTCAGCGGCTATTTCATTGTAAAGCTTGTAGTAGCGCGCACTCGACTGATCAATGAAAGTCTTGGCCTCGAGGTCATAGTTGGCAGCAGCAGCAGCAGCAGCGGATGAGAGCTGGTAAGTGTGGGGAGAGTGGAAATCGCAGATTATGCAATCTGCTTGTGATGTTTGATGGTGCTTATGCTTACGCCAATGGCTGCTATCAACAGCAGCAGCAGCCGCAGCAGGGATAGACACCGGAGGCTCATCTCCGCTGGTGGAATCAAATCAGTTTTACTTTCACACTTGTCGCCGGATCCGCTGGAACAGAACTGAGCCGCCCATTCGCATGGGGCGAACATTTAAAGCTTTTCTGAGGCTGGGCTGGGCTGTGCTGTGCTGATAAGCGCCAACCAGAGGCCATCCCGGGCAATACGCGTAATTGAGAACAAAAGTGGCCGTGTGGAATGCCATGATGTCTTGTTTATTCTGAGGCTAGTGGCTCAATAAAGATGCAATAGATAGCTAAAAGTAATAAGAGTACGAGTACGAGTATATCTAGTGATGTGCAAGGCCGTTGTCAGGGTGCATTTGGCTGTGGGTCAGTGAAGGGCAGGGCAGGGCAGGAGCGGCTCATTCAGCGGGTCTGGCGCGTGACCGTGCGATTCTCGTGGCGAATGGTCACGTCCACGATGCTCATGTTGGGCGTGAGGAAGTTCACCAGACGATCAGCCCCAGTGCGTGGCAGCCTGTCGAATGGATAGCCCATGGACTGACGATCCGGGTACAGGCGATCGCGGACGCCGCAGTAGGAGGCGGCATCACTGCAACGGCCCACCAGCTGCTGGTCAACCTATGAGAGATGCAAAGGAACGGTCAGACAGTCATCCCGGAGATGGGTGAGGCACTAACTCACCCTGTCGTTCTCGTAGTTGGAGACCATGACGAACAGATCGCAGCGAAGACCCTCGGGCAGGCCCTTGGGGATGAGCATGTGGTTGGGCCAGCCGCAGCCGCAGAAGTTGAACTCCAGCTCCTCGGGCGACCCGGCCGTGGGTCGATTGGCATCCAGGTTGCGGAAGGTGCGCTCGAAGGGAATCGTCACGCTGGACTCAGTGGAGCGGCGGCGGATGGTGTTGGGACCGGGATTGAGCGACACCACAAACTTGTCCAGTTCGACCATCATCGATCGCTGCTCCCGCAGCAGCATGGGCTGGCCGCGCTCGTCGTTCTTGGGGGCCATGAAGATGCGGCAGTAGCCGAAGCGCTGGGCTCCGCCGTCGTTGTTCACGTTGATGGTGTAGGTGAAGGGCACATGCTGCAGATGGCTGAAGCGGGCGAAGACATTGCCGCGGGGCAGGAAGTCGAAGCCGCGCGACAGATCCACATCCGACTGCTGCCAGAAGGTGCTCAGGGCATTGGCCTGTCCCCCATTGGTGGCCACCTGAATGCCCGTAATCGAGATGCCCGAGTAGTTCAGCTGGGTGTCGGTGTACGCGGGCAGGCGGGACTTGTGCTCCTGGAAAATGCGATCGATGTACGAGTGCCATTTGTAGAAGACGGGATCACGCATGGCCGTGGACACATCGCCCATCACGCCGAAGGACTCCAAGTGCTTGTTGCTGGGATCGTGCGAGTACGAGATGAATGTGTGGCCATTGTTGTGCAAGTCTCCATACTGGGATGGATGGGGGTAAAGAATAGTAAATGGTAAAGAGAGAAGGGGGCGGACATTGTGATCTCTCTTACCAGCACGCGATTCGGCGACAGAATGGAAGCTTCAATCATGTTGCCCAGGTGATCGATGCCGGTGGCCTCGTCCAGTGGAATGCGTGTGCCACGCTCCTAAAAGTCAAATGCGAATTAATATGCCTGCCAAGCAGAAGGGACAGACGGTCTCCACTCACATCCATGACGAATCCTTGGTGGATGGCCTCGTAGATGCGATCGCGCCACCGCTCCAGATCCCCAATCTCCACATTCAGCTGATCAGCCTCGCGATTCAGGTCGCTGAGGCGGGTGTTCTCGAAGCGTGGCGGCCAGGCGCGACTGGCCACCAGGGAGTCCATCTTGGGGAAGTAGCCCTCGGCAATGGGATCGCGCAGATTGTTGAACGGCTGGACACGGGCCAGGTTGTTGCTGAAGCGCTCCATGTTGTAGCGGGCGATGACCTGCTGGTGCATGTAGTAGAAGAGCTCGCCACGACGGTCCTTGGCGACGATGCTGCGATCGGTGGCCTCGAAGGGGTACACCAAGTGCCAGTGCCAGTGGTGGAGATTGATGCCCAGATCCTCGCGGAAGTACCACAGACGGTGCTCGGGGTCCAGGTCAGAGGCGGTGTAGTCGCGTGGAATGGTGATGGGCATCCGAGAGCCGGACTGCACCACAAACGACTCCTCCCGCAGCTGGCGCATTACCTGGGAGTCGATGAAGCGGTCGGGGAAGGTCTGCGAGAAGGAGGGCAGGTCCAGGCCCTGGGTGTCCGGGCGATGGAGCAGGGCCACCGACAGCGCATAGTTGAACAGAACCGGATTGAGGCGATCCCTGGCGTAGACGGCCACGCTCTGCAGATCGTCCACGGAGCGCATGTTCATGAAGATGTCGATCAGGCGGCCGGCAATGCGACGGTGCTTGGGCAGGAACAGGGAGAACTGCTCATCGCGGCCCAGGGACATGGGAATGCGCAGGTCCGGAATGGAGATCTCACGCACCGGGACCCGCTGCTCCACCTTCTCGCCAACGCGGCTCTGCACCTCGTTGCTGATGGGACGGTAGCGGTCGGTGAGGAAGGAGTCAGGCACATCGAACACGGTCACCTTTTTGCCCTTGTCCATGAACACGGGCTCGGTGGGATGATCGAAGAGCAGCAGAAGGTTCTTTGGGTCGGCCATTTCGGATGATTGGATCTGACTTGGATCTGGGCAGGGCACTTGGAGGAGGAAACTTGCTTGGCTTGGCGGTGTCACTGGAAGCGATGAAACTCCACAACTGTGACTGTGACTGGAGAGTGGACTGCCTAGCCTTTTTATACCCCCAAAGCAGCTCCTGTTATCACCAGCGAAGAGACCACAGCGAACCCCTGGGAACGCGGTCTCTCTTCGGCGATGATAAGACGAGGCGGAGAAATGCTTATGTGAGGAAAACCGCAGTGTTTCTGGTTTTTGTTTTTTTTTAGCATATTTCTAAAATACATTCTTTATTGTTGTTGGTATATATCTGGCTGAATTTCATATGCTTATCTACGAGTATACATGCTATTCGAATGAAATTTGAGTCGAGTTGGTTTTTGCATTGGTTATATGGAGATAGCTCCGTCTCTGGTGTATGCACATACATATATAAATTACAGCTCTAAACAATTGTCCATATATTAGATATATAGTACTTGTAATTTGGTATACGTACTACGAGTACATATGCATACATGCATACAATTATAATAATGATAATAATAGTACATTTATTCGATTCCAATTTGGCTGTATTCGATCAACAAGTGTGTGTTCCCATCCCATCCCTACACATGTTTATTGTAAGTAAGAGAAACAACGAGATGAGTACATATATGAGGAGTTATCATACGAAAAAGCAGTTGTATAGAGTGTATATACAATGCAGGAGAGGGTCTGCAATGCAGACTTGTTCTTTTCCTTGTGTATAAGCGATAGTTTTAGTTTCAGTTGGTTAGATCTTGTAAATAGTATCGTAGAAAAAGCCCTTGGTTGTGGGCCGTGGATTGTGGGTTTTTGGTTGTGTCCTGTGTTCCTTGGCCAATGATATGTGTGTTGTGTCTAAGCTCTTAGAGTAGAGTCTATCGGGGGTCGGGGGTCGGCGTCAGTTGGGTTCCCTTAGCCAGAGTAGTAGTAAGAAGTGACAGGAAGAGACAGAAGCTTTGTGTGTAAATGTCTAAAACTTTAATCACTTCCGAGTTCTAGTTATGTATGTATGTACATTAAATATCGTGCAATATATATAAATCAAGAGTTGTACAAAAATATATCTACATACTCGTATATAAATATAAATGTCTCTGAATGTCTGTGTACAAGTGTGTAAGTAAATTCAAAATAGAATTCAGTGCAGTTAACAACTCAAAACTGTTGTCCTGTGTACTCTCGAGATGTTGTATATGAAAAGGATTTATGTCTGTGTACGTTGATCTCTTTTCTTTCTTTCTTTTTGTTTGGTTTTTGGATAAAGCTTCTTCGTGTCTGGGAGCTAAAGCAAATATTGATCTACGATCTGTAGACACATACATATATATAAAACGTTTTAAATATAATGCGATAACATATACATACATACATACATATGTACATACAGTTAAGAATATGCTGGTATAATACTTTGTTTTGATTTTGATTCTCAACTTGGGTTTCATACATATATTTCTTTCTTAATGGAGAGTATTTTTTTGCAGTTGTATATTGGTGCCCAAATAGTTTCAGAATACGCTAAAGCTACGAATAACAACTAGTTCTAGTTTTGATTTGATTTGGTTTTTGGTTTTTGGATTTTGGTTTTTGGATTTGAAATTCTTGCACTTTATGGCACACACAAGTACAATAAATATGTGTATCGAGGAACTTTCACTACATACATCAATATCTTGTGGGGGCTCAACAATATCAACAGTAACATCCAAAACATCAAGGGGGTTGGGGGGATCCAACGAAATATACAAACAAACGAATGGGTTTCCTTTCTAGGGTAGGGTAGGGTGGTGCATATAACCAGGGGAGAGAATTCCTTGCCTTTGTACTGAGATTCACCCGTATCACCTCCACTCCGACACCCCTTCCAGCACAATTACAACACTTTGTACTGCCTGCAAACTCACTAAACACTTACCCAGATACTTTTTGCATATCTGAGATATCTCAGGTACAAGTTTCATTCTTCGCGAAGGTGCAGCTGTACAACCGAAACTTAAATCAAAGACTTTCCAACCCAAATACGAACTCAACAGCGATCCCAGCCCGTCAATTCCCATTTCCAGTTGCTAATGGCCTTAAATAATGAGTTTTGGCTACGATTCCGATTGCGTTAGCCTTCCTCTCGCCCGATTAATTCACCATCTTGGTGGAGGCCACCTCGGCGGTGGCATTCTGGAACTCCTGCCGGCAGTAGCCCAACACAATATCCGACCGACATTCGTCGCCCATTAGGCCGGGCAGCAGCACCGCAGCTCCCAGGATGGTCACCAGAGCACCAAACACCACCAGGCCCAGGGCAGGCAGCTTCTCGCGGCTGAAGAGGGCGTGTGGCTCCATCCGGATGTAGGCCAGCCCGGGCAGTATATAAGCCAGCGGTATGGCTGCCAGGAGACCCTAAAAATGAGAGTGCGTCAGCGTGTGGGTGAGTGCCGTAATAAATTTACATAAAAGTATAAAACCAAAAAAAAAAGGAGACTAAAATTTTGTGCGGCCATTTAGGCATGGGGATCGTTGGGGAATACCATATACCCTCGGCCAGAGGAATCCAGGTGGCAGGGCAAGGTGTGCCTAAAGTTAATGAACAATTCTCCGAACTCTCAATAGAGAAATTCGCTTGTGGATTTCAAAGAGAAAGAGAGCGGGAAACTTTGCACTGTTGCATATCGAATATATGTGTTGTATGGGAACGATATTATCATCTCTGCATATGGCTTATGTGGGGAATAAAGTACCCAACACGTTGCACATAATATGAAAACGATTGAAAGAAATCTGATTGAGATCGATTGATTTTCGTGCACGATATGGAAGGAAGTATAATTACATACTTGACGGCCACTGGTCGAGGGATTCAGAGAGTGAAAGGGTTGGTCCAATTCGAATCGAGTGGCATGGCAGGGAAGGGAAGGCAAACACCATACTCACATTGAGTTCCAGCACAGAGCCAAGGCAGTCGGTCATGGGCGATATGATGAAGGCGCTGAATACGATGGCCATGGTAATGGCTTTCGAGTACTCATCGATTATGGCTCCCTTCTCCAAGTTGGGGTCCTTGTCCTGGGTAAACTCGCTGATGGGCTCCTTTAGCACGAACCGATGGACTAATGCGCGTACAATCTGGCCGAGAGAAAGAAGAAAACGAAATGGCAGAGCAGAGCAGCGGGTGAGGAGGCAAATGAAATGAATGTAGCAGAAACTTTCTCAAGTGACTTTCGAAGTAAACAGAACGATGAGTGGGCTAGCGCTAACCTCTCGAGAAACGAAGCATTCGATGGGAAAGGTCAGCAGGATGGAAATGGAGAAGAGAACACGCGAGAAGTTCATCAGGTCGTCATCCCAGCAGTAGTTCTCCAGCAGGTCGCCTGCGAAAAACAAAAACATAAACAGTGAGATGAGATGAGAGATGGAGAACAGAGAACAGGAAATAGCATCCACAGATAAGTCCGAAACGAAAACGAAATGGAATGGCAGAGGGGGAAAACAAGGAAATTCAACAAATTGCCTGTCAATGCAATTAAATGCAATTTACATCAATCCCAGGAGCCCTCACTGGCACTCTCGTTCTCACCTTGGGACAGGGCACGGAAGGTGGAGTATCCAGCGATGCCGAACAGGGCCGCCACAGTCCAGGCGAAACCAATCGAAATGTGGGTGACCTTCTCCCAGCGCTCCATGGTCGCGTCGCGCATCGATTGATAAACGAGGAATGTATTGTGATGGCACATGAAAGCTGCAGATATACGAAATTGGCAACTCGATAGATTGATGAAGACGGACGCTGGCGAATCCACTCGGGCAAACACTCACCAAAGACCATGATGCCCGTGGCTGGTATGAGATCGGAGTTAGCAAAGCGCCACGAATCCGCAGTGTCCGTTCTGGAAATACATAAAAAAAGGCCAATGGGAAAAGGTGCAAAAAGGCAGAAGAGAAAAAGAAGGGTTTTCCCAAGAAATATTACATAAAAGTTAACACCAAATTAACATTTCGCTGGCGCTAAGAAATGTTTGAAATGTTTGCATACAGAATGAGCAACAGAAAAGGGGAGAAGAAAAATGAAACAAAATGTGCGGGTGGAAAAAGCAATGGCGGGAAGATAAGAAGCAACAGTGAGGCAGGCCGCAAATTGGAAATTTATTTAAATTTTATGCCCCCGCACCAACAGACGCAACATTCAAGGGTGAACCGAGGCTGCCGAGGCCCTACCCTCACCGCACCGCACACACACACTCTTTTTTTTAAGCTGAAACTAAAGCGTAATCTGAATATGCAGCCAGCTGCCCCTTTCGGTGGCCCTGAAAAAAGTGGAAGAGAAAGTGTTGCTCGGCTAAGCTGCTGCTGGTCATGGGGTGGTGTACTTCTCCCTCTCTCCCACTGGAATGTATGTATGTATATGCACGGGTATGTATGCATACAACTAAGTTGCCGATGCAACAGACTCAACTGAACTCGACTCAACTCGACTCAACTAATGAAAAGCCATAAAAGCCAAACAAGTGGCAGACTAAATTTTATGAGTCTAAGCGTACCCCGAAGCAGTACGGAATGCGGAGTATCAGCAGCCACCGCCCTGGGCAGCTGCCACAGATTTGAAAGCACTAAAGCGGCACTTAGCACTAAAGCCGAGAACCACCCCCCACCCACCACAGCAGTCCGCAGCCTAACTCAACTGCAGCTTAGATGGGGATGGGGAGCTCACGAGGAACGGTGGAAAGTAGGGGTGGAAAATTTATAATTAAAATGCAAATAAATCATTAAGCGTTCCCGTTTAATTTGTATGAATTGCTTTTCCAACGAATGGTTTCAGTTGCTAATTAACCTTTTAATTGACTTGGTACAGAATAGGGCCAAGGAACTTTAATTTATTAGTTTCCATCTTATTCGAGGGTCCACTCTGACGTTACGTTACCCTCCCCCTATAGCCTATCAGGAAAACTATTAACCTATCACCTGCCACGCTCCCACGCTTGTTTGTGTCGATTGATAAATATAGATATGGGAAGGAAATACAGATGAGGGGGAAGAGCCAACACCAACAACAACGCTTACATTTTATAATCACCGGACATGAGCTTGATGATGACGGCAAACAGGATGAAGACGACGCAGGCCAGACTGATGAAGCTGGCTCTGGCCAGGCGGGAGACGTTCTTGTACAGGCAGAGGGGCATCACAACGCCGACGTTGACAAAGAAGACCACGCCCAGTCGAACGGCGCCCATCGAGGCGCCCCAGGAGGGGAAGAAGCGAACGAGCACCTTGGACAGGGTATCGCCCACGACAACGTTGTACGATATCATGGCTATAAAGAGCGGAGATTGGGGGAGGATGACAGACCAGACAAGACCAGGCCAGACCAGACCCACGGAAAAGGTTTACTCACCCAGAAAGGGATACATGAACTGGAGCAGGGAGAGCAGGTAGTAGCCGTACTTCCCGTAGGCAGCCTCCATGATGCCCGGATAGCTGAACCTGCCGCAAATGTGGCCGCATCTGACCTGTAAGTGAAATTAAGCGGGGGGGATTAAACGGTTGGACACACGCTGGAGCGTTGCATTAATTATGCAGAATATCCCATTTGGTGTGCATTTGGCTTGATTTCCCCTTTAACGCCAGCATCGATGCTGCAGCAATCTGCGCAGCTTGATTGCTCGTCAGAGCTAACGAGCATTTTGCTGTACTCACCATTAGGATGAGTGAGTAGTCGGTGATGTAGGCGACCAGGATGAGTAGGGCGAGACCCAGGCCGAATCCGGCCCGATGCAGGGCGTAGGGTATGCCAATGACGCCGCTGCCCACAATGGAGTTGATATAGTTGAACGAGGCCTGTGGCAACGAGGACAATGTGTCGCCCAGCGTGGCATCATGTTGTGGTTGCTGTTGCTGGGAAGGATGTTGCTGTTGCTGCTGCTGCTGTTGCTGTTGCTGCTGCCGCTGCTGCTGATGTTGTTGTGGCTGTTGTGGCTGCTGTCCCTGTTGTTGATGTGTCGGCTGATGGTTGTTCTAGGAAATGGGGGAAAGGGGCGAAACAAAAGCATTGGGGATAGATAGAGATTGGTCTCTCTTGTGCTCCTGCCTCTCTCTGACACATATTGCACGTTGATTGGGATATGAGCGCCAAATTGCCTCGAGTGGCTCCTTACATCAAAAGCAAAACCACCCAGAGTCTCCCCGCCCCTTCGGCCAGCAGTCAACGCAACGTTGCGTATACGCAACATCCTTGGCAAAAGGTAAACCCGTATCCGGAGCACCGTAGCCGTAGCCAGAGCCCTACCCCTACCCCCACCTACAGCGGCCTGCCATAAAAGACAATTTTATATGAAGAGCTCTAACATAAACATAAATAAAATTCCACAGCCACGTCATAAAGCCACGAATACTGTTGGGGGGATGGAGTCACGTTTACAGCCCCCCCCCAACGACCCCCCACACACACACTAAAAAGGGGAAGAAGAAGAGCAGAAGGGATAAAGCCGAATTTCGGGGAGAGAAACTTCTGCCAGCTAGCTGGCAATTAAAGAAGTTTTCACAACTTAACTTTGGAGCAAACAAACAGTAAACAGTGAAACAGCAAACAGAAGCCGGAAAAGTTGTGCAGCCACCCCCCACCAAGAAGCTCCCCTTCACTGCCCCTTTAAGAGCGGGCGAAAAGTAAATATTTGCCGCACTCCACTTTAAAACGCTTGTGGCAGGTGTAGGTGCAGGCGAAGGTGTCAGCCCAGGCGTAGATGGGTAATGAACATTTCTAAATGAAAATGAAAATGAAAGTTACGCGCGAGTTGAGTTTTCAATTCAATTAAGTGGCGTCAAAGGTCGCCTTCTGCGAGGTGTTCTGTTCTGTTCTGTTCTGAGTTCTGAGTGAATGGGGAGGACACCCATTCCGTGGGGCGCAACGGCGCAACGGCACAAGGGCAAAGTGCAATTGAGTATCAAAAGAAAATGGCTAATTATGAAGCACGGGCCTGGGTCTCGCCACACTTCAGTGCCAAGAGCCCAAAGCCAAGGATGGAGCATCCAGGCAAGGTTGCGACAGCAGCAGCTGCGGCCAAATGAAATTACAAAGTGTCCGTTGTCAGTTGTCCTCTGTCCTCAGTCCTCAGTTTTCTTTCTCCTGTCTCCTACTACGTATATCTCTTGGCCTTTGTCCCGCCGTTTCCACGTTTTCCCTTATCCTTGCATGGGAAAAACAAATTGCGGCGTCGAATGGCAAATGGGCCAACGTTAATCTCGAGTCAGAGTAACCCTCGAACCCCGAGGGCTGTAGGCGGTGCGCTATCCTCGCGTCTCAAAGCTGTGAAAACCCACGTAATGGAGCGGCTGATACGATGCCACACACTCAACTGGATAATTGATAGCCAGCAGTTGTTTTGATTATTTTATCTTTGAAAACATTACCCCTACATTAAACTTTTATTGCCGGTTATCCCTCACAGCGAAATCGGTTAAAAGTGCAACTATCCTCCACAGAAACTAACAACTAACTGGGCGCATCAGAATTCATAAATAAATGACGGAGCTGAGCTGAACTGAACTCAACTGAATAAATGATTCGTATGAATGAACAAAAAATCGGTGTCCGTTGTGCAATCGAGCATATTTTTGGGAATGGAATTATTTATATACTCGCATCAAAAAGGGCGCCGAGAGCCGAGCACCGGAAGGGAAGTCTGATGCAGGACAATTGTGCTGTGAGTGGAGCCTTACATGTCCATCCCCATCCCCATGCCCTGGACACATTAAAGTCTGCTTAAATTTCCAGCGCGAATTCCCATTAATAATTTGTCGGTATTCCCTTGTCAGCAATTAAGCCTTGCAAATCCAATTAATTGTTAAAAAGGAAAACGAAAAACGCCCCAAAAAAATGTCAGCTGAAACTCAATTGAGGAATAAGCGTGCGAGGCGGGAAAAAAGGCAACAGCGAAAAACGGAAACTGTGAACTGCGAATACGAACAAGAGATGAAAATTGTTTGGGTCTTTTCTCAGATACGGTCACGGTTCCCCTGCCTCCTCCCATCAAATAGTCGAATAAATGTATGCATGTACCTGTCCCGTCTAACAGAACGTTTCTAATAAAAGACAAACATTGTCGAAGGCAAACACAAATACGAACACTGAGCACTGAGACCTGAAGCAATCTCCATCTGAACAGAAGGGAAAGCCAGGAATCAAGCCAAGCCAAGCCAAAAACGATTCCGACCTGGTCCAGAGAGTGGGTCGTGCGGGTTGGCAAACAAACCATTTTATGCACTGCACGATTTTAATTAATAACACTCATGTGTGTGTGTGCTCCCTGGCTGCTCTAATCCTAGTTCTCATTTCCTGTTGCCAGCAAAGGCCAAAATAACGGGCTACTTCTGACTTAATGATCGAATCAAATATATCCTCTAAAACGCCTTAAACAGCTTCGGTTTTTCGTTGCTTTTCTGCTTGGATATCGTGATATATTTGGCATAGCTTGTATTTATGGTGTTTTAGGGGAAAAAAATAAATAAATTTCCAGCCTGCCAACAGGCTCGCAAAATGGCAATTCGTGTGGTACCACGAACGGGCGGGCTATTTCAATAGCCCAAGGAAGTTGTTTGGTTAAAAGTGGACTCATATTTGGCCGGCTGGCCTAATGAAATTAGAGAAGGAAGGCAACACAATGGGAGTAACAATTTTCCACTTTAATGGAAACGTTTTGGCAAACTCTGTCTCGCTGGGAATGGGCTTTGAAAATAGGGTGTATACATATGTACGAGTACGTGCAAGTGTACGTGTATACGTGTACGTGTGTATGACAACTAACAGGGCTGGGGGGGACACAAAAATTATGCGAGTGGCAAAATGTTAACGTGGCACTCGCCGCAGACATTGCTGAACTTTTGCACTGCAGTTCGTGTTGTGATGTGGATGGTGGATGGGATGGGGGTTGGAGTTGGAGTTGGGTATATTGACACAACGTGTCGACATCGTTGCAATTGTTGCCACCATCGTTGCCTGGGCTGCACACATGGGGATAGGACAAACAGAGCAGAGCAGAGCAGAGCAGAGCCTGCCCTGTGGCCTACCCCTGGCTCCCAGCTATCTTCATGCGGCGCAAAAGCAAACACAAACATGCAAGGCAGCCAAATGGTGCACGGCTCTAGGCCTGGTCTGGGCGCTAGGCAGGTTTCAAATGGTTTCGTTTCGATCTGTCCTTCACATTTTTTGCCTCACAATTTCAGTGTTTAATTTAATTTTATTGCCATGACTGATTACATCTTCGACTGCAGCCAACAGTTGTTTCGCCCGCTGCCATTTAAAGCTGCCTAATTGAGAACCGACCACGAGGTGGGTGGCTGAGAGCGTCTCAACTATTGGCAATTCGCCTTGGCCATTAGTTGAGCAAACAATCAGCGCTGCCTGCTGTCCGGGGTTTCTTTTTCCGTACCCGACCCGTACCCCCCACTATTCCGGCCGCTGTTAATGTTGGAATTCGGGCAGCCCTGACTGCCTAATGGCTTTGCCAACAGCAAAACTTTCGGTGCGAGGGCCTAAGAAAACAACAAAAGCCACCCACACACAACCAAACTATAGAAAGAGAGAGAGGGAGAGAGTCTGAATGAAATTCCTTACTTATGCATGGTAATGCATCAAATATTACACAATGTTCCCTTCCTCAAGTTCTAGGCCAACAGTTATTGCTTTCATTTGCCAACCAACAAAAAAAGCATGTCGAGGAAATCCTTTCTTGTGGCTGACATTCTCTGGTCTCAGTTTCTGGCTTAAGCTTTGGCTTGAGCTCACAGAGAAGTCACATCCTACTTCGCACCTACACTGGTGTTTTCCTAATCAGCTTAGTTACCATTCAAAAGGCGGTCAGAGTCTGCACCAAAGGCATTCGCAATTCGTTTGTGTTTCACTTCAATGCATACTGCCTGCTCGCTCCAAGGAAGAGTGTTGTAATACGTTTCTGATGTTAATTTATCATCATCACTCGTACCAACTGATACGGCATGAGATTTTGTTTGATGCAATATTTAATAATGCCCGCGCACGAAGCCAAAGCCTACAGAGCGCAGCGGCAGGGAAATATTTCTTAATAAGAAAATTCTTTTGATGTCCGGAGACCAAAAGCAATTTGGTGCGCCCCAAAGACCTCGGAAAAGGTCGCGGCCCGAAATGCCAGAAATGCTCCTTACTCTGTCTGTCCGACCTCTTTCCTTCTTTCCCTTTCTCTTGCTCTGGCGGCACTTGGAATTTAATGAATGCGAGGAGCAATAGTACATATGTGAGTGTGAATGTGCGGATACGACTACGACTATTAGGAATGGCGATGCGAATGCAGCGAATGGGAACTATGTGCAAATGTGGGTCAAAGTTTACCTTCATTGAAATGTTGAAGTCATCGAATGCATAGGCCTCGGCAACGGACACATCGCTGCCCTGTTTAAACGAATAAGAATCAAATTGTTAGCCATTAAATCGAGCTGCGATTGGGCTGGAGCTCAGCGCCAGGAGTCCGATTCCTCGCCACATACAAAAATCAAGCAAATAAAATGATAATATAAATGTATGAAAAACATACGAGTAAATGTGTGCATTGCATACCAAAAAATATTGAGGGGGTGTCGGATAAAAAACAAAAACGAATTCCAATTTATTCGCATGTGAAATACGTGTATTCTATCTTTATACGAGCATGTGCATATATCTTTATGGAACACGTGTTTTCATACATACATATACAATACAAATACATCCAGACCCCTCCCCTCCCCCACCCCCAGCCCATTTCGCTGTGGGAAATGCGCGAGGTTCAGTGGTTTGTTGAATATCTTTCCTTTTTATCGTTTTCCCCGTCAATTTTCGAGATACAGCCACACGGCTACAGATACCCAGTGGCCCAGAACGCGTTTGCTTTTATTGTTTCCCCCACAACACACACACACACACACACACCGAGGCGGTTGAGGAAGAATCCATCAGCGAGAGAGAGGGAGAGAGGCAAGGCAAACTGGAAATCGAAACCATTTAGAACACAAAAGTGGCAGACCACCCACCGATCCCCAAGAGATGGATAGAGGAACCTGCCAACCTTTGCTGGGACCACGACACGTTTTGATTGTATGTACAGGCATACACAGGGGTTCGGGTATCCAACCACCCATCCAGGTATGCAACAGTTTTCTGTGAATTGCATAACTTTTCACCGACATTACGCATACGCAGACACACACACACAACGTGCACTTGACACTTGCTCGACCATAATTCACTTGCAGCTCGAGTGCCTGGCACACGCCACTCATCCCACTCATCCACTCGTCCACTCAGTCCCACACTCCATCATCCACTTAGTCGGAATCTCCTTGTCTGTGAGGGACTGGGAGGGTACGCCATCAATAGCCATTGGTTTTTCAAATTTATTTAAATTGGGTATTCCGGTTCAGTTTTGCGTTGTCTTCTTTTGTCTGAGCGACATTTGATTTAATTGGGTCAATTGGGATTTGGATTGGGATTGAATTAAACGGTCATGGGGGCTTAGTGGCCAATTTGAAATTCCAATCGAAGTTAATTGCTGCGGCGGAGTGGTGAGGGTAGCCCAATCTAACCGAGTTTATCCAGTGTGCACTGGCTGATGCCTCTCTGACATTGATTTCAGTTATCTCATAGTGGGCGTCATTGTCCCTATCCCTTTCCCTCTTCCTCTGCCTCTCCGTATCCCTGTCACAGTTCCTGTTGCTGCTGCTGCTGCTGTTGCTGTTGCTGACATTCTTATTTGATGGCTCAGCTGGCACAGCAGCCAGCCTGTCCAAGGCCAACAACCAGCAGATGCCAGCTGCCAGGCATGCCTTGAATACTAAACGTGGCGATTAAGTGGAAGGGGATGGGGATGGGGGCGGGGAATGGGCAAAGTGCAAGTCAGGCTCCACTCATCGGTCTGTGGAGCAGGCCTCATAAATCCTCCTCCACTCGAGTATGTGTTGTGTAATTAAAGGTCGTGCTCGCCCTTGCCTCGTATTGATTTTGTTATCAAGTATGCGAGCGGCACCCTTGGGAGGCAGCTTGAGGCTTAATTTAATTTTCAACTCAAGTTTGAAGTTCCTGGCCAGTTTACATCTTCCTGACAAATATCCCCGCCCTGCAAAGGTCAGCGGAGGGACAATGAATCTTCGTAATTCTATTCCCAGAACACTTCCATTTGTTGCCCCCCAGTCGCCTAGTTGCCTCCATTAATCATGCGAGTAGGTGCCAGTGCTGTGGCATGTTGTGAATTGTGATTTGGATTATCACTCAATCAGGACACGATTTGATGATTGTAATGTGTCATTGCCCGAGTGGGAGTAGTGGGAAGTGGGAAGCGCGTTCCGTGCCAGTTGGCTGTGGGAGGAGTGCAAACAAATTGATTTAACAGTTTTTGTGCTCGTGTGCGGGTGTTTGTAGGTGTGTGTGTGTGTGTGGGTGGGCACGCAAGCCAATTTCAGCAGCCGAACGGCATGGAATGGAATCCATAACGAGCTTAAGGGATTATCGAGCATAATCCATTCGGGCATCGTGGCTCGAGCATCGGCAGCTGCCAAAAGCTGCCTTCAGCCAGATTTGTTGTATGCAAAATGCCTGCGGGTGAAGGATGGTTACCAGGACATGCTTGGTTAAATTTTGATGGATTGACAGGGTCTGTTGTTTATTAACAATTCATCTGACAAGCCAGAACACAAGCTGTCAAAAAGAGGGCTGAAACAAAGTTCAAATTTGATTACATTTGGCCCTGTAGGCCAAGATGATATGTTCAGTCTGTGTGTGTGTGGTGTGTGTGTGTGTGGTGTTGGGTGTGTGTGTGTGGTGTGTGCAATTAGTTGGGTTTCCTGCCATGGCTGGTGCATCCGAGTGCGTGCAATTAGTGTGCAACAAAAGAACTGCAAGCTGCGACTGGCCAAAAACTGGCTCATTTCAAACTACTTTTACGAGTAAGTGCATATAATTAGAGGATGGACTCTGACTCTGACTCACCTGACGCTGAAGAATGTAGCTAAATTCTGTGGCCGTGTTGCGTCGACTGTCGTTCATTTTGCTCAGTTGGCCCCGGCTGGGTTTTTGGCTGGTCTTTGGTTTGGTTTGGTTTGGTTTTAGTTTTGTGCGAGCAATAGTAAAAGTTTTACTAGCTTCAGTTTTGCTTCAGTTTTAGTCGAGTTTACTTAGTTGAGTTTTGCCCTTAGTTGTGCTCCAGCAGAGCTTGGTTTAGTTTAGTTGAGTTGAGTTTAGGTGGGTTGTTGGCGTGATTTTATTAAAGTAGTTAGTTAGTTCGCTTTAGCTTCAGCTTCCGCTCAAAGAAAGCAGCAGCAGCCGTCTGCAAGCAAATAAACAAATTTTTACCTAAAGTGAAGAGCAAATAAATGAGAAAATTTTAAATTGCAATTCTGCAGCTGGCCAAATATTGGGGACAAAACTTTTGGGACTCCTCAAATTGTTGCTTAAAAGTTTGATTGAAAGTTATACAAGAATTCGCTTTCACTTTCACTTCTCATTTGGGGCACACGTGGGCACAGAACCCACAATGCTAGTCAAGGATGCATTTAATTTAATTTATTTTTTATTTAAAACATTTAAGTGAATTTATTCTGTTTGATTTGTGTAGAAATTTGCATTGAATGTTTTTTTTTTTGCTGTAGTTTTCTGACCGTTTAATCGGGTCTTCGATGTGATTTGGTTGGTTCGACGCTTTCGTTGAGACTGACTGCTGCAATACAAATATATTGCGAAACTCTCAACAAGGATAACGTTGGCGTTGTCCTGTCGTCGCGACCGCCTCTGTGCCTGCTGCTTCTGCTGCTGCTACTTCTGCTGCTGCCTCGTGTCGTGTCGCGTCGTGTTGGGTCGTGTCTCCTCCTGTTTGCTGCTCAAGTTCTTGTTCTGTTCTCAATGCTTCGCAGTTGTTGGCTGCGCATAATGCTCTTATTGTTGTTTTTTGACTTTGAAATTGCCAACAATAATGCACACACTCAGACACACTTTACGCACACACACACTTCCATATTCAAATGCAAGAGAGCAGCGGGGCCTCGCTCTCACAATAACAAAGCAAAAGCCGGAAACGAAAGCGAAAGTTGCCAGACATTGCACAGCTGTTCAGCAAGAGCAGAGCTTTAAGCTCTGTCACGTCACAACAACACACACGCTCGAACAAGGCTTGCAGGCCATGCACTGCGACAGCCTGGCAACGCTCTCGTTCTGCCTGTCGATTCATTCATCTTTTCAGTTAACACGAGGTCGGAGATAGACGCCAGAGATGGCAAGCTTTTCCTGCTGCAGCTCTGAGTACTAGATATGATTAGAAAGCAGAATGATGATAGCCAGCCAACGGCACTCAGGTTGTCTAATCTTTAATCAGCATGCAACTTTGTTAGTCTTCGACTCCGTTCGCTTGGATAATTTGAGCACAACTAACAATAAAATACGACAAATGGACATAGACAATATCAACGCCAGGGCACAATGCGATAATCGTGCAGGGCCTCATCGTAGGTATAACTTATATCGATTTCCTCGTGGAGCACCACCTCTGCGTCCAGCAGTCGCCGCACGATCATGGCCGAGCGAGCATCGAAGCTGTTGCCATAGAGATTCAGGCGCTTCATCTTCGACTCCTTCTTGATGGTGAGCAGAATGAGGTTGATGGCCGACGCTCCAATGTCGTTGTGGTTTAGGTATAGGTGCTGCAGCATGCGGCACGAGCTGAGATACATGGCGATCCACTCGCCGCCATGGGTCCCAATACTGTTGCAGCTAATGTCCAGCAGCTCCAGGCCGCCACCCTGCGCGATGCCACGCATGAGGATGAGAGTGCCATCGGCGGAGATCATATTGCTGGACAGATTGAGCTGGCGCAACGCGCACTTCCTGCTGTACAGATACTCGGCGATGGGCTGCATGTCCTGGGCCGTGAACTCGCAGTGCTGCAGCGTGAGCACCGCCAGGCCGTTCTGCATCAGCAGAGAGCCAATTATGGAGGCCATCTTTTCCGTATCCAGGCTGAGCTTGAGCCCCAGGAGGCGGCTGGCATTCAGGTTGCGCACACCCGACTTGTGGACGCCATCGGCCACCACGGCAAAATTGTACTGGGTGACACTGCAGTGGGACACGTTGAGGGTGCGCAGGGTCTTGCTGACCAGCAGGAATTCTCGCAGCAACCGAACATGCTGATCGGTGAGGGGCGTGCCTGTGGGAGAGTGTGAGAAGTGACTCAGTTGTGCACTATGTGCACTTTCCCGTAGGTAGGCCAGGCCCCTTACCCTCCAAATTGAGCTCGCTGACCTGCATTTTTTCCGCATTGAGACGCAACATCACAAAGAACTCCGTGGGCAGCTGCATCAGCTTCAGCTCGATCTTCCACACGGGAATCAGCGAGCGGGCAAACTCCTGCAGCAGCTTGGCATTCCAGTTGCTCACCACCACGCTCCAGATGGACACCTCCAGCAGGTGTCGGCGCAGCAGAAAGTTCACAATGATGCGAAAGTCACGAATGCAATGGTACTTCCTGCCCATACGATCCTCAAAGTCCAATCTGCGGAACTGGAACTTCCTGTACGGTCGCTTGTCGTACTCCCGCTGCCAGCAGTAGAGCAGCAAGATGGTGAACAAGCGGGGCTTCACGGGTGCCGGAGCCATACACCGACGCGGATCATATTCGCACGGCAATCCCACGTCGCACATCATGGCTTGGCTGGTCCCTCTATTCTCTGTCTGTGTAATGTAAATGTAAAACTAAACTGGCTTTATTAAACTGTTGTTGAATTTGTGATGACAATTTGGACTTGGGTTAATCAGTGTGGAGTTTCAAGTTCATATACATGTAGGTGTTCCATGGGCGTGCCGCCCTCAAAGGCCACTTCACTTCATTCAAAGGTAACGTCACAGATGTAAACTACACACGTAGTTCATTATATTACATTAATGTCTACATACATGGACAGTGGCGCCATAGTACCAAAAAAACCCGTTACCTTAACGGAAGTTTAATTTAAAGATTTTATTTACTTCTAATAGATTAGGATTCCTTCCAGCGATAACAGCTAGTGGAATATATCATATATGTATGCGGGGAATATGCCCAATAATGACTTTAATTTAGCTGCAAATTAAACAAAAATGCTCCCACACCAAGCATGCTTTCAGGCGGGAACGACATTTATTTTCATGGAAGACCAGTATGTAAAATTTGTGTAAAAAACAGTCAGTCGATTTAACTGTGAAATTTGAATGAGCCAATTTCCGTCTTCTCGAAATAAGTTTCCTCAATAGAAATATGTCGTATTCCAACTGATGTTAACTGAACTGAACTGATATTAATCACAACAGCAATTCACATCTTAAATCAATTATAGGACAAGAACATACTTGGACTATTCAAATACTGAGCCAACTCGAAAATACCTGAACAGAACCCGCTTCAAGGTAATCTACATTACATATTTGTACATACATATTTGCTCATACATACATACATATGTATATTGCAGGAGTAAAGACAACTAAAGTGTAAATTGTACATCAATGTAGGGCATAAACAATTAAAAATTAAAACTTAAAATAGGCCAAGTGGGATGAGCGAGCATACGTCTCCTTATAGGTCCAGTCGAGAAGTCTACCCCATTTCCGATATTGTCTTGGGTGCAAAAAGGAATGGCATCCTTGAGCGATTTTCTGACTGCCCCTTATGGAGCAGTTTGCCTTTGCCAGAGTCGAAAAAGTTGTCCATCATTGGCATAGTTTCGAGAACTCACAGCACATACTTGGCCAGGCCGAAAATTACCATAAACGACATTTCATTCATTTCTTTGTCATTGCCATAGTAGCTATGGCCTGTACCGTCCCTCAATTAATACATTGTAAGCCACGTGGTGTCCGTCATCTCGTCATATAGGGTCGGTCAGGCATCCTGGCCGTGTGGCATGCCGGCACGTGCCAGCTGTACTTATAAATACGCTGCAGACCCAAAACCGATATATTTATTTATAGTTCTGCACGTAACGAGTGGAGAATGCTAGGGTATGGAAGGCATTTATGCCATTTATGGTCTGGTTGCATCTTCATTTATTTGATTACCTTGGAGAGGCTACAAAATGTGCATCGGGGAGGCTGAATCTCAATCGCAGACTCAATCTATCACTCAATGGTCGCTGGTTGCCAGAGTCCCCTTGGCGTGGCATGGCGACAGGTGCCTCATTCGATAGACAAAGTGACGATTGCTGGCGATCCAACGGCTGAGAGTTATTTTTCACTTTTACTACCACACGACAAATCGGTGGTTCTTGGTTCTTGGCTGTCTTGGCTGTCTTGGCCATGGCTGGAGATGGACATGGACATGGAACTGCTCGTATCTGCATTGATTTACGGGCCATGTTAGCAAGACAACAGACAGCCAGGAGCCAGAGAGCCAGTAGCCAGTAGCCAGGAGCCAGAGAGCCTGGAGTCCAAGTTTCGTTCTTAGCTTAGTCATCGATGGCCCCGACAAGATGGCCGCCGACCAAAGGCAATTAACAGCGGCGACAATTTGGCATGTTCTGGCTCAAATTGAAATTCAAAAAAAGTGGCAATACGAAAAGAAGCAACAACAACATCAACAACATCAACAAAAAACCAAGAAGCAACTCCAATGTGCTACGCGATGGTTATCTGTGCTTGGGAAAAAAAAACCAGATAATTAAAAATATTGTAAAATGCCAGACGGCCAGACGCTCATAATTGCTGGCAAAGGCAAACTCCAAGAAGACAGACGCAGTCTCAGTTTACAGCTACCAGACAACACGACGCGACGCGACGCGACGAAACGGACGACAGAGCACCAGAAGAGCTCCAACATTGCATGTGCATATCATTTAAATAACTTTTCGTAACGCAATGTGTGAAACTGCAGCAGCAGAACAGGCAGCCAGCAGGCAGAACAGGCAGGCAGCAGCATCAGGCCACAAACTATCCAAAGAGCCTGCCTGAGTGGCAGGCTGGCACTGGCACTGGCACTGCATTTTGAGCAGCAAGAACCCATCCAGACCAGCCATGGTCCATATTTGGATGCAACTTCGTCGCATCTGCATCTGCATCAGTTAAGGACAGCATCGACTGTCTGCGACTGCCACTGCCACTGCCTCCAGACAAACTGCAGACAAGAGTAACATGCACTTGTCTCCACACATGGCTGGGTCAGCCTCGGTCTCTGCCCCATCTCCATCTCCATCTCCATAGCCATCTCCATCAGTCTCTGTCCCCATCCACAATCACCATCTCCTGGCAAACGCATTCATTGTCAATTTTGACTATCAACAAGATGCGACTACAACACACGCCTGCTCAAATGCCAACATCAACATTACATACGTGTGTCTGCTGCTACTGCTGCTGCCACTGCAACTTCGACTGCGACGAGCTGTCTGGCTCGGGGTCTCGGTCTCTGTCTCGGTATCGGTGCTGGTTCTGGTTGCGATCTGGATATGGCTGGAAAGGGGCTGGGCTGGACCGAATGTCGAAACATCAACAGAAGCCAAGCGACGGCACGCGAAAGTCTTAAAAACCGAAAACGAAAATTCTCGAAAATTAATAACATCTCAAGAGTAAGCCCAGAGGGCATGCAATTATTAATTTAAAACGAAGTATTTGTACTCTAATCGAAACCTCATTCAAATATTGTACATACATATAAATCTTCAATGATTGAAGCATATTTTAGATGATAAATGTGGGTGTGGGTGGGAGCTTGTTACACCTATAAAACTATACACTTTCAGTAATCCCAGACCATGGATCCCGCAGCCAGGCATACAAACGTTCGGGCATATAGTCAGAAGACATTTCACACCAGAGGACCCATGGTTGTTACCGGATCGGACCGCGTGCAGACAACTCTGGCACACAATAACAAATTGGCTTCTGGTCTTTGCATTCCACATGCAATCTGAGACAACAATCACGGCAACTGCATTTGGCGGGTGCACCGGTAGCTGGTAGCTGGTAGCCAGGAGTAGTAGTCGGAATGGGATCCGTCAAGCAGCAACAACAACCGGCACCAGTGGCCGAAAGCCATTAGCTCTGGCTACGAGCAAGTGAGCACCGACATGGTAACACCCTCGGAGCTTGCTCGACCATCAACCATCAGCTAAATAACCAATATACATACATACAAACAAACAGACATACATATGCACCAATGCAAGACGGGGACAAGGACAGGGACTGGGACTGGGAGTGGGGACTGGGGTCTGCCAGCATTTGTGCTGTCTTGACACGTCTGCCTGCCGAACGTCATGTATTTTTAATAGACCTGCCTGCCAACAGTCCAGTCCGGGGCACTCTGTGCCTCGCTCCACCTCCAGTGAATGTTCCTCCTTCTCCATGCATGCTCTCGTATCTGTTGCTTTTTGGTGTCTTGGGATGATGACTGCCAGCCAGCCAGCCAGCCAGCCAGCCGGCCAGCAGCTTGAGAATTTTGTGATCCCTCATGCATCGCATCGCATCGGCCAGCCTGGAGCCTGGGGGGTGAGGGACAATTATGTTAATTACGTGTTATATTGATGGTTAAATAATTTTGCTGCAGAACTTGCATATTTAATGTCCATGGGGGATGATTGTGAGGAGTGTTTACTCTCTCCAATAGCACGGCTACTCCGTCTATCATCTTTATTGATTTCTTATGATTTGTGATTGATTTCTTTCAAAGTCAAAGCAGAATCGACTCCTGAACTAACTAATCTGATTGATGATTTGCAGCCGTAATAGTTTTTCGAGGCGTCCCCAATAAACTTTATGTCAGACATGAAATGTCTAGATAGCAAATTCCTTAAATAAAATCCAATAAATAAAATTTGAAAGTGGGTCTTCTACTTGTCAACGCTTGGCAAGGACTGCTAATGTCAAATTGATTTGGTCTGAGGAACTCCCAATAAACATGCAGCCACATAAAACTACAAAGTCACTGAGTTTTTCAGCGAACCCATAAAACTCAACTGAAGAACGTGAATAGCCGTCTGGCGGTGGATTGATAAGAGAATAATTTAATCTGCTTGTCACCTGTCAATTAATGTGTGTGGCATTCGATTATTTAGAAAGATATTTGGATAAAGCCAATAATATTCCGGGCTAAAATCATATTAAAACGTCGCTTTAGATTTCAGCAAACTAAAACGTGAGTCTCCTTGAGTCGATATTGTAGCTTGTAGAGGTCATATCTTGGTCGATACTCTACTGCATACTAACTCTACTATTTATGTCCAGTTCAACCACATTCTAACATAACTAAAACACCTTGCCTTATCATCTTTAAGGCCCCCCCAATTGTTTGGGGCTGGGTGTGAATGTGATGGCCTAATTATAGAAAGGTTCCACCCAGAACTCGAGTGCCAAGTCGTAACTATCCAGCTGGTGTTTGTTCGATGGCAGTCTTGCAATCACTTCAAAGTTAAGTGTTAGCAAACAATTAACTGCCGATCGAACAGACCAAGTGTTTTTTGGACATTTAGCGATGATGATGATGGTGATGGTAGGATGGTATGTTGGGGCTGATAGTGGTGCTACCGGTATTAAACGACGCCCCCCACGTGCCTGCCTGCACCTGCTGATAGGCGGACGGAATTGTTGCTCATTGGCGGCAATTGCCAGTGCCGGCTACCGTTTAAAATTAAGCTGCCTAAAGTGGCCCGCCCGAGCGTGAGGCATACTCGTGGTACAAATTTGCCAGAAAATTGGTTTTGAAAATAAACACAGAGAAATGCCAAAAACTGTGTTGCGGATCCAATGTCCATCGATCAAGATCAAGATCAAAAGAAAACCACAACTAACTGCCAATTACTGGGATGCGATGCGATGCGATGGTATGGGATCAGGCGAGACAACAGCCTTGAAAAGTTAATGAAAAATCAAAAAACTGAAACCAAATTCTGTCTTAGTTTTGGCTTGACTCATTTCACATTCCAATCGTTGATATACCTACAAATACTCGTATGTTCATATGTCTTGTTTTGTGGATGTCTGTACTTTCTGTTGGTCTGGTGTTTATTTTCGTGGGTGTTTTGATTATCTGTCTACATTGTCCCCAAAGTGGGACAAATTCTGCCCGAACAAACAATATTATATAAACCTGAAGACAGGGGAAGGGAGAGCTTCGTTCCGTTCCATACGAGTGTTTCATTGTATTTCTTTGCTCTTTGCTCTTTTTTCTTTTTGGTATTCGGGGAGTGGGATTATGATTCGGAGCATTTGATGCGATTGCAATTTTACATAACAGTCGCCGTCTGAGGGGGTCTTCTCCGCCTCTCCTCTCTCTCTCTCTCTCTCACTCTCCGGTAGGTGTTTCATTCGAAGCTTAAACGATGTGCAGACAGACATACATATCAGATGGATGGACGGGAGACAGAACGAGGCAGACGGTGAGAAATCCAGACTTCATAAAGTGATTCAAATTATACAATCATTTTGAAATTCAATTTTGGTCCAGACGAAACGTTGATCATTCTGATGATGATGATGATGATGATGGAACTCTTAATGATGATAATGTTTAGATGTTGCAACAACAAAAGTAAATAAATAAATAAATCAAGAACGTCCTTGAAGTCTCGTCTGTTTTGATTTCCGTATGCAAAATGGACAGAGCAGAATGAATAATTCTACTTCTTTGGGATACGAAAGACAGACAGGCACAGCCAATAATTTTGCTATATAGTAGGATGACCGTTAGGCCGTAAGGCTTTCTGGGGTTAATGTCGTACCAGGCACCACGCACCTCTAATAGGATATATCCGCCTAATTCAGCACTCAACTTATGAACTACGCACTTTTCGGTAGATAGATAGAGAGAGAGAGAAAGCAGCGGCCGCCCTGACCGGTTTGATTAATCTGCACGCACAATATCTAAGCGACGCATCTAAGCAACAAAGTCACGAGCAATGATAAAGCCAATTTATAAATATAAATCTAGCATAGCACGTAATGCGAGCACCAAGCCCCGTAAGATAACAGACACAGAGTTGAGCATCAAAACAATTTGATTAAGTCATAACTAATTGTGCGGTTGCCCCGAATCACTTCAAATTCAAATCTAATCGCTCACGCACCTCTGCCTGCTATAGGAATAGGAAACTTTGCTAGATACTCGTGTGGAGCGTGTCGTGATTAGTCGAATGATTGCAATTATTGACGTATTCCCCCTGCCTGGGCTATAGATACGCTAAGCAGAAAACAAAATGCTTTAGCAGGGGCCTGATACTCGTAGTAATTGAAATGAATCTTGGACCAGCAAACCTACCTCTATGCCGGTGTGGTTATGACCAGGAATATCACTTTCTATGGTAGGAGCGATAAGCCGTCTCGCGAGACCACATATACACAGATACACTGCCGGGGACACTTGCACACACATGCACACACACACACACACAACAGGCATACACAGATGCAGATACGCAACGTTGATTGGTTGGTCGACTGCGCCGAATGGCAGCCGAACAATCAGCCGAAGTACACGAGTAAATTACACTGTAAAAACGCTTTGGGTAATAAAAGAAGAGCGGAGATTTTATTGAGCGAAACCCAGACAAATAAAGGTGTAAGAGGTTCATATGCAAAGATACTCTATATTCCATATCCATTTCATTTATTTAATCAAAAATAATAAAGAAAGGCTCACACTCTGATCTTTTCAAAGCTACATTTTTAAATCACAAATTCATACTCTAAAGAATATAATTATTAAGTAAAGTATATGAGCATATTCAAGCGTATATTGCACACTCAAGTGAGGAACAAGCTGTGAACAGACACCGGCTGCAATTTCTTGCAGTGTCGGGCAGCAACGCAGCGTTTACGACCATAACAAAGTACCACAAATTTTTTGTTATTTAAGACTAAAAAACACTCGCGCAAATCACTTCATACTTGGTTCTTAGAGCGAACACATCGAACCCGCGGCAGAGTCAGAAACCAAAAATTTAAATCACAAAAAATTCGAAAGCGGTTTGCAGCAAAAGAGAAATACATTTCCCGTACGAACCAAAGATGCAATTCAGGTGAAAATTGTGTGCCAGGGAAAATTTGTGCATATAGTTATATAGCGCCGTGATCCAGAAGCTGCCAAAAGTGCATCAAGTGCCTAAAAACAATAAACCTTCAGTTAAAAATCAAGGCGAGAAAGATGGCAAGTGTTGAGTGCTGTGAGAAGTGCGGCCGGAGCAGCAGCCGAGTGCTCCTGCTGCAGCTGCTGATACTGATGGTGATGCTGATGTCCATGTCCAGGGACTGTCAGGCGTCCCGCTTCAACCATTCGGCCTTCATGGACGGTGTCCAGTCGGTGGTGGTGAATCCCTACAATCGCACCATCCTGAACATGTTCGACCTGACCGAGGAGCAAATACAGAGCATTCAGAATCGCAGCAATCCCAACACCAAGGACGAGGCCACCCAGTCCTCCAATCACCAATATCTGGAGCACGTCGCCTCGCAGCGGTGAGTACCTGGCTCGACACTTTGCCAAGCGTCTGTCAATCATATCAATCACTGTAGCCCGCCCGCCTATTAGGGGCCGAGAATAGAAATTCTATTAAAAGACATTCCGCACGGGCAAATGACCAGCTGAACAAAATGTTTTTTTTTAAATCACTTATTTGTGAGTACAAAAAAACCTTAAAAAAAATAAAGTAATTGTAAACAAAGTTTGAAAACAAATGCATATTGCAATGAAACGGCGAATGCCAATGGGTACATATCTGGAATCTGTAAACACATTTTTCAGCTGCCGTTTTTCAACACAAATATTCGCAATTTTCTCCGTGCGCGATTAGTGCAGATCTAGAAATCGGAAATCTGAAATATGAAATCTGAAATCCGCTCAAGGCTAAACACATTTATGCAATTCCCGAATGGGGCCAACCACCTCGAATGAATATTGAAACGTGTACTTCGATATTATTGAAAATTGTTCATCTTGCGCTTCGGTGCCTGTCGAACACGATTTAAGCCCAATGCCAAAATCAAACAGGGAATAAATAAGTATCTACAAATGCCATATCTATAAACGATGAAAATTTAATTACTGCAATTAATATTTCGGCACGTGTTACTTTTATATTTTAATTTGTATGAATTGCGATTAAAATATTGTAATCACTTTTCGAAAAGTTTCCATGCTTAGTGAATCTCCAGATGGACCACAAAACTCACTTTCCATTGAATGATTTTCTGTTAGAGCTTGAAGCCTTTATTAATCGGGTGTATTCATCAGATCTAGTCATTAGGGAATCATTGGCATAATGACCAATAAAACCATTCTAGTGTGTGCCATGCAAGGCAATTCGATTAAACATCAACGGAGGGAGCATCCCAGAGGGTAGGGGTAGGGAACCTTTCTCAATGGTTACCCGTCCATGGGATGCCACAGACATCTCTCAGACGGAAATCTATCAATGGTATCTGTTGTATCCATCAGATACTGTAGTACAACTGTCGCGACGACGCCGCTGCACAATGCAGACACACACACACACACAAACACACACACAGCTGTATGTTGCAGTCGCCGCGGCGACCTCTGTATCTTTGTGTGCGTCCGTCCATACATCCATACGTCCATCCGTGCGCCCGCCGGGTGTCTGGCAAATGTCTGGGAGCAGTCTGGGCCATGCTGGCTCTGGCTCTGACTCCGGCTCCGTTAATGAACTTTTTGTAGGTCGTTGCTATGCGAGACAGTCTACGTTTCCACAAACATATATAAATATATAAATATGTACATGTACATACATATATGTATGTAAGTACGATTATGTACAATACGCCTACAATGCATGGTGTTGGCTCAAACATATGTAGGTGTATGTGTTGTTGCTCGTACGAGTACGAAGTATAACAGCTGATATCTAAATTGTTTCATCTTATTTGATTGCTTTAGCAGAGTTCTGTTCCGCACAGACAGACAGACAGACAGACAAACAGACAGACAGAGAGACAGGCAGAGCCAAATGTATGACGTATGAGTAATATTGAGACAGTGAGCAGACATGTTTGCGCTCGTTCCCCGTCCCCATGCCCCATGCCCCATGCCCCATCAGCCATCGTCATCCAAGTTGCAGCTGAATGCAAACAGTTGTAGGCGTACTTTTGTGGCTACTAAGCGACGCGGTCGGTCTGAGTCGTTCACTGACTGACTGACTGACTGACTGCCGCCCGACGTCTGCCCGACCCGACCACTGTTTGTTGCATGATAATGAAGTGCAACCGGCGAGACACTGTCTAGCCGTTTCTGCTGCTGCTGCTGCTGCTGCCTGCTGCCTGCTGCTGCTGCTGTGGCCAAAGGCAACGGACTGCAAAACCACAGACCCAGACACAGAGGCGATGCATTCAAAGATATTTGAGAGCCCCAGCTTCAGACTCAGACTTTACTTCAGGCTCAGGCATCAGCGTCAGGCAACAGGCCTCAAGCCTCAGGCATCTGGCATCAGTCCTCAGCTTGAATGGAGGCCAATGCAAATTTTGGTCTCAGCATATTTCTCTCTTTCTGTCTGTCTATGCACCTGTGCCAATGCCTTGAACTCTGCCTGTGCGCATGCCCAATGTGAAATTTCAGCAGATGGCCTGCGTGACTCACGCACGAACAGGCATCTGCAGACACAGATACAGATACAGCTGCTCCTCTAGGCTGCAATCAGGGTCTAGGACTGGGAGAATGTCAGACCGACAGACCAAATAATATGTCTAGACGGGTGCCCAGACAGACGGCACGACTCAACGGGTTTTCAAGTTCATGCCACACAGCACCTCCAGACAGTCAGAGGCAGAGACGTAGACGGAGACAAAGACTGAGACAGAGACGGACGTGGACGTGGACGTGGACGCGGAGAAGGCAAAAAGTCAACTCCACAGCGGGCCATTTTGCCTGGAATTTCTTGGCCAGACAGATTCGATGCGATCGTAACATAAACATGAACCAAAATAAGCCAAAGGCGTTTCCACTCGACTTGACTCGACTCGAGTCGAATCGACTTGGTTCAGTTTGGGTGCAGACTGCCGCCAGCCGACCTGATCTGAACATGTTTCATAATTTTTTTTTTTCGGCTAGACAAACTGCGCCTCGGGCAATTCCAAAATATCCAAAACAATTAAGTTATTTTCACACAAAAAAAATATATTATAAAGTGACATAAAAGAAAAGAAAAAGTCATTTGATCAACTTTTGCCAGGCGCGTCTCAATTACCGATCCAGACATATACAATTGTCCAATTTTCTGTGTGTGTGGACAGATTAGATCATAGCTAAGTAACTATTGTTGTCTTGTCTTCTCTTGTCTGCTCTGCCCCACTCTGATTTTCTCTGGTCTCTGATCTGTCGCCTGCCCCGTCACGATGATTGTACAGCCGCAGACACGCCAAGAGACAGAGAGAGAGAGAGTGAGGGAGAGAGCCCTGACAACTGGGGGGACGGACACACATTTGTCTCGATCTCAATGGGTTTTTAAGTGACACGAGTCTGCCTGCTCCACTATGCACATTTAGCTCATAATCAACTTTGGAAAATGTCCCAAATAAGCCAAAGCCAAGCCAAATCAAAGCAAGCAAGCAAGCAAACGGGGGTGAGTGAGGAGGCTAGGCATTTAATCAGCGCAAATGCCTCGGACTAGTTGCTCTATTCAACTAGCTATAGTAAATACTCCGATAGTACGACAGCTTATTGGGCAATAAACTAATATTAGGCAGGCCAAGCCAATCTATGAACTATTCCTGGCGATGCTCTTTCACAGGGCCAAAAGTTTCGCTTTAGTTGCATATCAATGCCAAATGGTAAATTTATATTCATGGGAAATGACTTTAATCTACGGTGTGGTGTGGTGTGGTGTGGTATCTTTATAGTGTGGTATGACCACTACTGCCCTTGCGGCATTATCTCATCCATTAGCTCAATTACCGAACTTGTTTTATCTCAACTATTCCAAGAGTCCAAAGTTGGCCGCTTATCTCAAAGCAAAACGATTTCTAAAAGCCAAAAAGAAAATAGATTGATTGTCAGTGCTTGAATTTCAATGGTAAGTAAATCCAAATCCCACAGGCAGGTTGAGCGGGGGGGCCCAGATAGAGTGGGGTACTGGTATCAATAGATCCAGAGTGGAATACTCGAACTTGTCGAATATTGAGATTCGCTCACTCGGGTTTTTTTCCCAAAGGGTCCACTCTACTGCCCTCAATCCTAATCGAACCCAATTATCTGCTGGATGGTTAAATTGAATCAAATCGGCAAACCGGACCGCCACTTTTCCAGTTGTCAGACTGCCGCCGCTTGGCTGTTGCCTCTGTAACGAAGGCAGCGCTCAAATGTCAATTAAGAGAGCTTTACATAAACACTTGAACTAAATTTCTTCAATGGATTATAAATAGGCTGGACTGGGCATACGAGTGAACATCGCGAACTGTGAGGCGTGAATGATCGAAAGTTTTGTGTGTTCTCTCTTGCAGTCTGAACGAGATATTCAAGCGGCTGCACAAGGCAATTTCCAACGAGCCCAATGTCAACAGGTCAGCCGAGAAAGCCGGCTACCCCATCTGCAATGCGGAGACGAGCATCCCCAACTGGCAGCTGGCCAATAACGTCACCCTGCAGTTTGCCAACAGCGTGTTCGACCACAACGGCGATCGGCCCAGCAGTGCCCTCCTGCGTCTCTACAAGACGTATCCCGGACAAAGTCCCAGCCAGAGCCAGAGCCAGGAGAGCACGGATCAGCCCACGGCCACACTCTGCCCCGACCAGGCGGAGGTGGGTCCCCAGATACGCGTGACCGTCTCCATTGTGCACCAGCAGAAGAAGAAACGTAAGTTAGGTGTGTAGCCAGCGGGATAGTGCTCTGTCTGTCAGTCAATCTAAGCCAGGATCCATTCGCTCTGCCATCTCCTCCACAGAGCGCAAGAAGCGCACCTGCAACACGACCATGTTCAGCAGCAGCATGACCGGATGGGTGGAGATCGACGTTAAGTGCGCCCTGGCCTACTGGGAGCAGCAGCAGCGCCAGCAACAGCAGCAGCAGCCCCAGCAGCTGATACCCAGCGTTGTGGGGCTGCTTATGATTGAGGTCCATGACGACGAGGAGAATCCGTTGAAGCCGGGCCTCTACTTCGAGCCACCCACTTGCGATCAGGCAGGTAAGCGTGTTGTTTGCCATGTCTAACTAACTCCCCAAGACCGGGTGCAGATCACTCCCAGTCTCTCTCACTCTCATTATCTTTCTCTCACCATCTATCTCACCCAGTGTCCCTCAGTCGCACACTCTCTGCCTCTCTCTCTCTCGCTCTCTCAGTCAGTAGCCGCGAGACAGGCCCCTTTTCCCAACCAGAGCGTATTTGAATTTATTTACAATCCCCCGAAAGGTCAATACTCAGAGAGCGATTTTTTGGGGGGCCGGACACAGGCCAGACCCACGCCCAGACAGGCAACCAAAATTGTGCTGATAAAGCGCCAAATCACAATAAAAATACGAATATCAGATTGTGCCACCAATATATCCAGAAACAGAAAAAGGGAAGAAGGGAAAACCTTGTCGTCTGCTGTCAGATGTGTGCAGTCAGCAACAGTCCGCGTCCGCATTCGAGTAGTCTGCAAAAGCAAAAACAAAAAGAATAAGTGTCCGAATAGCTTACGAAATGGATTGGGGCTTGGGCTTGGTGGATTGTTCCGTCCGAATTTAAATTGCATGAGGCGTAAAAGTGGAACGGAAGTAAAGTCTGGACTTACGAAGGTCCCCTGGGTTTTTTTGTATTCATGAATTGAGAGTTTTCTTAATGGATCGGTAAGATACTCGTCGGCGGCCAAGATGTGTCTGCAGAAAGTAATTCATCTGAAGATGCTAAAACCAATACTAATCGCTTATACGCACCGTTGTGCGCTCTGCTCTGCTCTGCTCGTTTTCCATGTGCCAATGCTCGGCTTTCTTTGTTGTTCAGTTGCACTGCGCTTTGTGCTTTGTGCTGGTTCCGTCCAGTTTGTTATTCTTATTGTTGCTACTTTGTCGTTTTTGCATGATGATCTTTTTGCGCGATTTTCTCACTGCATTGCATGCCACCAGCACCGGACACCAGACGATATTAATATGATCCCTCCACGTGTATCTTTCAGACCCTGCTGTCCCATGGAACGCATACGGATCAAAGACGTTTGTGCCTTATCTGGAAAGTCGGTCAATGCCCAGGTAAGCAGATGCCTCCCCTCATGCAGACCAGACCACGTCACCATTGCCACGTCACACTCTCGCGTTCGATATGAGAGGAAATCAGATGCGGAAAGAAGTTGCTTGGGATTTCGATCTCCTTTCTTTCTTGTTCCAGTCTCACTTACAATTCCATTAATGAATTAAACTAACTTAACCCCCAAAAGACACTTCAGAGATTTTACGATCAGCCTAAGAGTATGCAATTATTTTTTAAATAAACTTACACATCGGGTTTCAAGCATTTTCGCCTTTGGCATCCCATCTCTGTAGCCGCGCGGTTCAAATGTGTATAAATAATAAATAGTTAACATGTTTGTGTCTCTACAGATACCCAAGGATAGATGTTGGCTTTAATGTCAGCGCATTGCTTTCGCCACATAACTGCTTGAAGAGCGTATACAGTATCCCGAAGAGCAGGAGCCACATCAGCCCCGCCGAATCAACCACACCCAATTCACAAACAATGGACAATTTGCTTGACGAGACCAGTGAGACGGAGAGCCAGCAGGAGCAGGAGCAGGAGCGAGAGCGGGAGCGGGAGCGGGAGCGAGACCGGGAACAGGTCCACCAGCATCACAGACGCCATCACCACAATCACCAGCAGCAGCATGCATCCGAATCCGAATCGGAATCCGCGGCGCCCCAGACCGAGGGCGAGGTGGAGGCCGAGGAACTGTTGGCCGCGGCAAGCAATAGCGAGCCAATGGAGCCGATATCCAACCATCACCTGCATCGGGTGCTCAACCATCACCATGCCACGCACCATCATCATAGCGGTCGCCATCACCACAAGCACCACCACTTGATGGCCCACAAGCAGGAGTAGATCGATCGACTGCGTTATCCTAGTGGCCCAACATATTCTGTCTCTCCCTCGCCCCACCCACCCCCACACACACACACACACATACATACATACATATATGCTGGTCTTATTATACATATGTTTTTTTTTGTTTTTTTCTGTTTGTATTTGTAGGGCCAGTTGACTTAACTAGTTTTTAGTTCGCCGGTTTCCTAACCCAACAACCATAGGCATACGCATAAGCGGCACCCGTGCAGGGTTATACATACATACATGCATATATACAATTAATTATAATTATAATTTACAATTCGTTCTATGTTAAACAAATTTTTTGGTCGAAATTTGTATTATTAATGGATTAAATCTCTCTTATATTAGGAGTCTGTGATTTAGATGTGGTTGAATTTGCGAATTTTTTGCTACAATTGAATTAAACAAAAAATGTATTGGAACACACACACACACACACACACACACACATAAAAAAACACACACACATTTTATACGAATATAATTATTAAATATGTACACTTAGACTTGCCCCTTGCCTTAGGCCAGAACGTAGACCAAATTAATCGATGACTTCTGCACCATCCCCTCCCTCAAAAGCGAAACACCCCAAGGGCGACAGAGCAGACTAATGCATTTTCGACTAATTTTACGAATATTGGATATTGGCTCATGGGAAGTTGAATGCATTCAACAGATTTGTTATAGTATGTATACTCGTACATAAGTCACTAGGTTTAAAGTGCCTTCCCTGCAACAGAACCCCAGCCCTCCCCAGAAAGCCTGTTCTTAATCTCAATATTTCTATTTGTAATCAACAAAAAAAGGGCTTCTGTTTGTTTTTTTTTTTAAGATTCCACAAGAAACTTGAACTTGAATTTGAACTTGAATTGGAACACATTTTCATTAAGTCAAACAGCTATTCAATGCATAATCCTAACATACCATACCACTCGATCATCAGAAACTAAGTACATTTGTAAATCTATACAAAAAAAAAAAAAACATCTAATACAATATACAAATATATATATGTAAAAGTCAAATATAGTTTGTGTTACTTGTCAATGATTTAGAAGGGATAAGGGGCTATTGCATCAGATAAAGGGGCTCGTGTTGGACGATAAGATATGCTTACTTTCGTGCGAATCCCGCGATTAGATAGAGCCCTACTTCAACTTTGCCCTTTGCCTATTTATGGCAGCCAGTGGTTAGCTTGGCCCATCAATTGTGACATCTGATTAGTCGCAACCAGCTTGGCGAACCTGCAAGGAATGCCCAAGCCCACAACACATCAACATCAGCATATCGCAATCTCAATCAGATGCCTACAACGTCATCTTTATCGCAAGCAATCTGTGGGGAGTTATATGGCCGCTCGGCTTCGTGTGCTTCGTTGGAACTTAACAACCAGCTGATAAAGCAATAAACATGTCCAATCTATTACCTTTTCCACGCTACACTGCGATCGCACGAGCAGCAAAATAAATCACGTTGGCAATACCAGGCATAGAAGCTACAATGATTTTTTAAGTGTATGCCCAAAAAATAAAGTTGCGACTGTTTAATACCGCAGCAGAGCAACTAAGTGTTAAAACTAGGATCATTTGATTGTTCGTAGACTTAAATGGCTAAACAGTAAAGCGTTTGCATATCGTGTTTATCTCTTTCTTTCTATTTCAGAGAGCAAACTGAAATTACTGTTGTCTCTACTGTTAAACGATTCATATCTAAAAAAATGTTGTTTTTTTTAATTTTTTAAATTTGCTGTTTTTGCAAAATAATTACTGCGACGGAATATCACAAACTTTCAACTTCAAATGACTGAAGCAGCTGACGCAAGCGCTAATTTTGGACTTCCCCGAGTTAGAAAAATGCAAGACGAAGACAAAAAAAGAATGCGGAATGCGAATATGTAAATTTCTCCTTTTTTCATTCTTCATCGTCAGAGTGCATTTTTTTCCATTTTTAATTTAGTTTAATTTGACTTTTTTCCGCTGTGAACCAAAATAAAGATTTCTGATAGATTTTTGTCATGGTTATTTTTTTGTTAACTTCGTTTTGCCCGTGACAATCTACATACGAAACTGATATGCGCGGCACCCGCGGTATTAAGTACGTTTTTTAAGCGCCCTAATGAAGTCGGTTGAATTTAGTATGATCGCGACTGCCCATCGAGAACAATGGTAGAGCAGAGCAGTTAGCCCCGTCACAGCCCCGAAATCAGCTAAGAGCTAAGCAAATGCACCACTAATCATTCATCAGTATTCGGCCAAGTACGCACCGTGTCGACGACTTTGGAAACTTGTTTGATAGCCGCTACAAACGATAGCATAAATTAAACACAAACAAAAATAAATACGAAAACAACAACAGAGAACAAAAAAAGGTGAATTAACTGGCGTAAAACGAATGCAAAGCTACAACTCTTACATATATATACATATGTATGTACAGGCAGATTTTTAAATATTATTTACACAAGTGATTTTACGAGTCGTTTATCTGATGTAGTTGCAGCTTTAAGCTGGATTTTCTCCAGTGACTAATATTATTATGTGGTTATAAAATACAACGGCGGATATACCATAACCATAACTCTGCGATTATAAATTAGTGTTCGATTAACTATTTCACGAGTTCTGCTTAAAGGAATTTTGATAGTGCTATCAGCACTGAAAACGTTTTTGCAGCCTTCAAGACAAACTCCCTCTGGGGCCAGGCCATAAAATCTATAGGAAATAATTGCTATATACTATATATTACGAGTGACAGTTGAAGTGGCATATTTACGGCTCAAAAGAGTGGTTTACGATCGATAATACATATGACGAGTATCACTTGCTCGCCCTTAACCTTAGCACGAGTGTGTTAGATAGTGCCACAGTGTCCGTTGCAGGTTAAGTTTTGTAGAATGCGTTGACAACCAGCAGCAACCAAGGCATAGAATCTGATTTCCTGACTTATCGCCCCCTGCTCGAGTGTGATTTGAGGCAAAAACCCCTAATCGGCTGTCACTTGAGGCTAAACTTGTTTTTTGCAGATTGTAAAAATATATAAAAGATTACGATGTCGTATAACCATTCGGGGGGGATTTTTCATTACAGATGACAACGGATACGGCAAAGGGGGCCATAAACAATGGCTACGAACTGGATCATGTAAGTACATATACATATGTAGATTAATATACCCCTTGAACACTGATTGATTGGTTTTCAATCATTTCCGCTTTGCAGCGGGAACTGGACATGCCAAATGCGGCAGCATTTAAGGAAATGCCACAGCACGGCCTCGAGCTGCCACAAAGGGGGGAAGAAGGAAAGGGATTCTTCTATAAAAATCCAAAAATAGCACGCATCGTGAAGATTTCGGTTTACATTCTATTGCACCTTCTGGTCGTGGGCTACTTCTCGTATGCCACCTACCATTACAACGACATCAGTAAGTTCGAATTATATCACTCATAGTGCCCTAACTGAACTCTATTTGATTCAATTTGTGTAGCTAATTACGAGTGCTCCTGGAACTCGTCAGGTAATCCTCTTTGTGGCATCAACTGGTGCTCTGGCTATGGCATGCTGCTGCTCGTGCTGGGATTCATCTACATTGGCATGTTCTACTACTATATATTCAAGCCGAGAGTGGGTCTCTGGCTGCACAGGGAGTACCTTTAAGCCGGCTGCCCGAAAGTGGCACAACTTTAGCAGAACCAGGTGGGCAGGGCACTACGATATATTCGCGACAGATCTGATTACATTTTCTTGTGTACTTTACAGGGCTGTCTCGCTGGCCTGCATTGCCCTGTTGCTGGTCTTTCTGGCCATCTTTCTGTACTTCGAGACTAAGGATGAGCCGCAGAAGCTGGTGTCGCTGGTGGCCCCCTGCTTCTTCATACTGTGTGGCTATTGCTTCTCCACGAAACGCAGCGCTATTAAGTGGCGCATTGTGATCACAGGCATCACGTGCCAATTCCTGCTGGGCATATTCTGCATACGCTGGGAGGTGGGGCGGAATATCTTCGATTGTCTGGGCCAGAAGGTCGCCACGTTCCTCGACTACGCCAAAGATGGAGCACAGTTTGTCTTCGGCGACTTCCTGATTAAGGCCGAAGTCTTTGCGTTCGCCATTCTGCCCGTGATCTTCTTCTTCAGCTTCTTCATCTCCATCCTGTACTACATGGGCGCCATGCAGTGGGTGGTCATCAAGCTGGGCTGGATACTGCAGCAGATATTGGGCACCACCGTCTGCGAGAGCGTCACCGCCGCGGCCAACATCTTTCTGGGCATGTCCGAGAGTCCACTGCTCATCCGGCCCTACATCAACAAGCTGACCAAGAGCGAGATACACAGCATAATGGTGTCCGGATTTGCGACAGTTTCCGGCACGGTGCTGGCAGCCTACTTGTCCTTCGGGGCATCCGCCGCCCATTTGATTACCTCCTCGGTAATGGCTGCCCCTGCCACGCTGGCCATCTCGAAGCTCTATATGCCCGAGACCGAGGAGAGTCAGACCACATCCGAGTCCATTGAGCTGGAGAAATCGTAAGTGAATCGTAATTATCCATTGAGACAATGTAGCTTGACCTTCCCCCCCCCCCCCACACACACACACACACACACACACACACACAGGCAGGACTCGTCTTTGCTGGATGCTGCGTCCAGCGGCGCCAGCAATGCCGTGCCCATTGTCCTGGGCATCATTGCCAATATCGTGGCATTTGTGGCCTTTGTCGCCTTCCTCAACGGCATCGTCAATTGGCTGGGATATCTGGTGGGTGTCGATGATATCGACTTTGAGTGGATATTCTCCAAGCTGTTCATTCCGCTCGTCTGGGCGATGGGCGTGCCGAGCCAAGACTGTAATCTCGTTGCCAAGGTCGTGGCCACAAAGACAATAATAAACGAGTTCGTGGCCTATGAGCGACTGGGCGCCTACATACAAGCGGGCGAAATCACAGTAAGTCGGGACTGTCCAACTATCCATATATGACTATGCTAATCCTCTATGAACTGTCTTAGGCTCGCAGCGGTGGCATTGCCACGTTTGCCATCTGCGGCTTTGCCAATCCCAGCTCGCTGGGTATTCTCATTGGATCGCTGAGTGCCATGGCACCGAATCGACGCTCCACCATCACCTCGGTGGCATTCAGAGCCTTTGTCGTGGGCAGCATTGTGTGCTTTGTGTCCGCCAGTTTTGCAGGTTAGCAGCAGACTATAACCATATATTAAACCATGGAATTCAATATATTTAATGTTCTTTCAATGCTTCTTTCAGGCATACTCTTACAAGAAGACGACGAGAGGGCGAACTACGACAAAATCATACAGAAATTGGGTCGCCGTAATGCCACCCACGGATAGGAATACACAGGCTGAGATCTTAGATCGTTACAGATAGCTGATCAACTTAAGAATAATAAAAAGAAAAACCATATTATTTATTAAAAAATAACAGAGGGTATCCATGAAACTTTCATTAACAAACCATTTAGTAGTTTTAGAAGTATTTCGGGGACTGTATCAGGCTACCAGGCTACATATGACAATAGAGCATACGTTGAAACATAAAACATTCCATGTTTAAAAGAGACACAAACACCGATCAATCCGGTCCAATGGAACAACCACTGGACGTGGAAGAGGAACCCTCGAAAAAGAGGGGAATTCTTCTACGTGTGGTCCATATACTTTTTCACATTCTGTTGATTTCGTATTTCATAGCCGCAACAGTTGTTTACATTACATATGGTAAGTGTTGCCAGTTTTTCGATTGATTTGTGGTACGGCATTATCATCTACAGACAGGAACACCAGCAAATGTATTAGTCCGAGCAGCACAGACGATCCGGCGTCCTCGAATAATACAGCGAATGCAACAGAGAGTAACAGCGGCCTAGACGATGAAGATGAACCAAAATTTAAGCCGTTTATACTATGCAAAATGAACTGGTGCCATGGCTACGGATTTCTCGTATTTTTCTTTGTAATTTTCTATATACTTTGGCTGTACTACTGGGTCTTCAAGCCGTTTATCGGCCAAAAATTGTATGACAATAAGATCGATCCGGCCCTCGACAAGTGGATTGAGTTCAGTCGCCGAAGGTGAGTGTGGCGCAAAACGAGGTTTTCTTCTGCTCCTCATAGTTGATCGTTCCTGCTAACTTAATAGGATAATCTCCATGATAATGCTGCTCATTATTATCGTCCTGGCTTTGGCCTATCTGGTATTCGAATGCCGCGACGACATGAACAAATTGGTGGGACTTGCAGGACCGGTGTGTTTCTTACTCATTGGATTCGCCGTATCAAAGCACCACAAGGCCATTCCATGGCGGATCGTTACGCATGGCATATTGGGACAGCTGGTGCTGGGCATTTTGTGCCTCCGCTTGGCCTTTGGTCGAGACGTGTTCGACTGTGCTGGCGAGAAGGTAACCATTTTCCTGAATTTTGCCAGCCACGGAGCCCGTTTCGTCTATGGCGATCGCATTTGCGACGAGTTCGTGTTTGCCTTTGCCATACTGGCGGTGATATTCTTCTTCAGCGTGGTCACCTCCTGCCTGTACTATCTGGGCGTGATGCAGTTCTTCCTGGGCGCGTTCGGGTTCCTGCTGCAGTCGATGGTCGGCACCACTGTCTGCGAGAGCGTCAATGCGGCCGGCAATGTTTTCCTAGGCATGTCGGAGAGTCCCCTGCTAATCCGGCCGTACATCGATGTACTCACGAAGAGTGAGTTGCACACGATCTGCACCTCGGGCTATGCCACAGTGGCGGGAACAGTGCTGGGCGCCTACATTTCCTTTGGCGCGTCGCCAGCCCATCTCATCGCGGCCAGTGTGATGGCTGCTCCGGCATCACTGGCGTTCTCCAAGCTCTTCTACCCGGAGATTGAGGAGTCCCGAACCAGGTCGGAAAATATCCAGCTGGAGAAATCGTAAGTTCCTTTATGCCCGCTAACAATTCTGGTTGCCACACGATCGTCTATCATCGTCTGCAGGCCGGACAGTTCCATCCTGGATGCAGCAATCAGCGGCGCTTCAGCCGCTCTGATGATTGTCCTGGGTATTGTCTCGAACATTATTGCCTTCCTTGCGATCGTTTACTTCTTCAGTGCCGCCATCGAGTGGATGTTTGAGATGCTTGGCCAGGATGAGATCACATTGCTGTATTTGCTCAGTAAGATGTTCGTCCCGCTGGTGTTCATCATGGGCGTGCCCCACTATGACTGTGATCGAATTGGACTTGTGGTGGCCGAGAAGACCTTCATCAATGAGTTCGTGGCCTACAAGCACCTGGGCGAATTGATCGAAGAAAACAAAGTTGATGTAAAACTTATTACTCGCTCTCTACTCCTTCCGTGCGATCGAATCGATTTTTTTTATCTGTGCCTTTGCTTGCAGAGTCGCAGCGCTGCCATCGCTACATTCGCCCTCTGCGGCTTCGCCAATCCGGGTTCCCTGGGCATTCTAATAGCAGCTCTGAGCGCCATGGCACCAGCTAGGCGCACGGACATAACGCGAGTGGCGGTGCGCGCCTTCTTCGCTGGCAGTTTTGTCAGCTATACATCGGCATCGATTGCGGGTAAGTTTTGCATTCGTCAGTAACAATGGCAGGCTGCACATACAGAACCATTCATTCACTTTATTAGGTATTCTACTTCAAGAACGTGATCTTCGTACTATAAGCCACAAATTCTCGCGCTTTGTGGAATCCCATATGACCGAAAATACCATGGAACACCAGATGCTGAATGTATAACAATGATATCAATGTTCGAGGACTATTCATTTAAGCTTATCAACAATCTACCACATTCAGAATGTTACGCAACTTATCGACGACTTTCTTCACCTGCTCTCTATCCGCAGCATCCAAGCCGGCTGCACTCTGGCCCAGCTGCAGCGAACTGTCGTAGAGTTCCCTTACGATTTCCTTGGGTGTGCTCTCAATCCGCTTACGCTTCAGACCCTGCGCTTTACAGTGGTGCTTCATCTCGCGGTTGTAGCTTGATTTAGTCAACACTTTACAGTTTCTGTCCGCTGTTGCGGTGGGCCCCGGCGATGGTTTCTGCCGCAATGTTTCCAGCAGAGGCAGCCACTCTTTATCTATGGCGTGGCGTGCGCTGAACGCCCTCAGCTGTGCATCATCGCTGCTTTTGCAGGTATGCAGAAACTTCTGGACCTGCCAGTTGCAGTGGCCGACAACAGGAGCTAGTCCCCGTAATAATTGCAGCTGTGCGGATGGGCTAATTTGGTCCACCAGCTTGAAATATACACTGGTGAATGTGTCGCACTTTTCGTCCCCAAGTAGCTCCTTGACGAATTCATAGGTCTGTTGAAGCCACTTGGAACAATCCGTTTTCCTATGCTGTGCCAATAGCTCCATGAGAGCAGCCTGTTGGTAAAGCACAACTTACAAATTTTGATATTCTCCTTGCGACTTTACTCACCGCTTCATAGTACAGCTCTATTTTATTTGGTGGGCCGCTCCCCAGGAGCTGCAAGCGCTCCAGTAGACTTTCCCCATATCTGCTGTTTACAGGTGCAACAGCTTGCAGATACCGAAAATTCTGGGCACTGAATGGGGGTAGCTCATGTTTGCCCAAGCCATGGAAATACTTCAGGAAGCGCTGCACATGCCACTGACTCGGGTAATGGGAGAACATTGCGTACGCGTTGTTGCACTTCTTCCAGTAATTAGTGGCCTGGACTAGTGTGTTTCTGTTCCAATCCGTGTTTACCTCCATCAACCTGTCATATAAATAGTTATGTCATTGTATGAAAGGGAAATCAGAAGGCAGTTACAACCGAAACGAGAGCATAAGTATATCCGTGCAGGCTTGTGATGTGACGGGATCTTCTTGGAACACACCAGTGCAAAAGTAGTTGTTTAGTTCCTCGCTGTCTGCCAAGTACATAAGGCTGGCAAAGGATTCAATCACTCGTTCGTAATGGTCAGCATTCACAAAGTGTGAGGCATCTGCGGACACAATTAAATTACAACAATAATGATTCATATTTCACACAAAATATACCTTTAAATATGTATTCAAATATTTTCTGCAATGTTCGACAGGTGTGAGGCGTTACAACGGCATTTTCCACCGTGACAGCAGCTACAAAATCCAAGCAAATATAAAAAAAGTCATGTTCTGCATCCACCGGGTCGTTAAGTGAAGCAACAAGTCGCTAAAATGTAAGCATTCGATTAATACACATCTTAATCAAAAATATGATTTTAACTTGCCTCTTGAAAGTCCTCCAAAGGATAAGCCAACTCAAAGAGTTTTAGCTGGCACGGTCGTATATATTTAGATACAAGTAATGGAATATCCCCACCCACATCATGTGTCCTAAAATAACCAAGATAAAATGCAAGAAAAGCGTGGAAATTGACCGACCTACCTTGCGCCACTCATTAGCAATTCAATGAGGGTTTCCGACACAGATTCGTCAACATGCTTAAACTCGGTCTTAAAGAGTTCGTACAGCATTATTAGATATGTATGCGTTACCTTCAGATACTCTTCCACCTTTTCCAAGGGCACAGTCACTGTATCCTTTAAAAAAAAAAAGTGAATTTTTAAAGCTTGTAACTAGTTAAATGCTCTGGAGAGTACTTACTTCCTTTTGGATTGTCTCCATTTGATTGAGAACCGTGTCGCCTAGATGCAAGACGGTTTCCTTGAGCCAATCAGGCATGGTCCCAGCCTCCCATTGGCCACGATCGACATATCGCATGTATTGCAGGCAAATATAGGTCATGGTTTTGCTTGTTTTTGTAAATGCCTGCAAATGGATGATCTTAGTGCCCAAGAAACCAGATATCTCGTTCATCTGTTGGATCACTGTAAAAGAAAGCCAGATGAGTGAGCACGTGGAACGTGTTAAGTACGCCAAAGACTTACGGGGTGTTATGCGAGGATTCACTTTCTTTGCACTGGCGGTGGTGTCTCTCAGCAGGGACAGCACAGCCGAGTGAAGGCCGATGGCACTTGGAATATGTTCCTTCAGGACATTGCGCTTAGAGTTATTTTCACTGGGGGGAAATTCCAAATGTTATCATCTAAATGAATCTGAATCGTTAACTCACCTTTCACCCAGATAGCCATGCACAATGGAAAATAGAAAGAAGGCGGCCGCGTATACTAGACGTTCGCCGGACTTGAGCAACTGTTCCTTCGACGTTGTTATAAATTTTAGGGCCTCCGCAAGTACGGAAATCAGATCGCTGCTGTCCGCTGAAGTTGATTTCTGAAAAAGAGTGAAGATTTTAAGATTTGTTGGTGGACATTAGAGAGCATGCAATTGCTTACCATCGTTTGAAACCAGTCGCACATTTCCTTGAATGCAGCGACACAGCATACCGCTTCATTAATATATGCCCCGAGTACTTTGTTAAGCCATAATGCCAGTACGTCCGCAGTCTTGGCCTTTTTGTTCCTTATGCATTCGCTGCAGACCCTTAACGCCGATTCAACATCGATAAGGATTACAATGTCTTCTTGGTCTATGCTCTGTAGCTCACTGAATGCCACAGATATTTCCTGTTCCCCTGAATTTTCAGCCATTTCAATAATGAATGTTTACATTTTAGTTTTTAAGACCGAGCCGCGCCAATCACGCGATAACATAGTCTCTAGGACTACAAAAACCATCGATGGTTTTATCACTTTACAATTGTAAAAATTATAATTTTTTTTTCAGTTATTTTGTGGTAAGAGGTTTTTCGTTAGGTAATTGGTTCTGCACATCCTTTTTAAATGCACTTTAATTATTTTCTAGACTTCAAAATAGTACTTTTTCACAGAAACGATATATCGATTGTTTTTCGACTATCGAAAAATCGATAGTGCCATCAATGATTTTGGACGTCTCGCGCACGTTGTGTTTTTATTTACAAAAATGCAGCGAAAGGAGACAAATCCGTTCCAGAGCCTGGGACTGCGTCCTTGGTTGGTCAAGCAACTGACAAAACTAGGTAACTATATCTGCTTTCCACTAGGAAATGACTGCTAATGTTTGAACTTGTTGGACTTCAGGCCTTAAAGGCGCTACGCCCATACAACAGAATTGCATTCCCGCTATATTGTCGGGAAAGGATTGCATTGGCGCCGCCCAGACGGGATCGGGCAAGACCTTTGCCTTCGCCCTGCCCATACTGGAGAAGTTGAGCGAGGAGCCAGTGAGCCACTTTGCCTTGGTGCTAACCCCCACACATGAGTTGGCATATCAAATCTCGGAGCAGTTTCTGGTGGCTGGCCAGCCTATGGGTGTGCGCGTGTGTGTCGTGTCCGGCGGCACTGACCAGATGATCGAAAGCCAGAAGTTAATGCAGCGTCCGCACATTGTGGTGGCCATGCCCGGACGTCTGGCCGATCACTTGACGGGCTGTGACACGTTTTCATTTGATAATTTAAAATATCTCGTTGTGGACGAGGCGGATCGCATGCTGAACGGCGACTTTGATGAGAGCCTGGCCATAATCGAGAGATGTTTGCCGAGCACCAGACAGAACCTTTTCTTCTCCGCCACAATGAAGGACTTTATGAAGGAGTCCAGTATATTCCCCATAGCCAAGGATGTGAGTATACCTTAATGACAAAAGGGACTTGCTTCAATAGACTTGCTTTTTGTTTAGTGTGTCGAATGGTCGCAGGACTCAAATGTGGCCACTGTAGACACTCTGGATCAGCGATACCTGCTGTGCGCTGACTACGATCGTGACATGGTTCTCATCGAGTCGCTGCGCAAATATCGCGAGGCGAACGAAAATTCGAATGTCATGATATTCACCAATACAAAAAAGTACGTGCTACACCATTTACCTCAAAAGTCATTACTCAAATATGCAATTTCAGATACTGTCAACTGCTTTCGATGACCCTGAAGAGCATGGAAATTGACAATGTGTGTTTGCACGGATTTATGCGGCAGAAGGAGCGTGTGGCTGCCCTCAGTCAATTCAAGTCCAATCACATCCGCACACTGATTGCCACGGATGTGGCTGCGCGCGGTTTGGATATACCCAGCGTGGAACTGGTGATCAATCACATGCTGCCACGGACGCCCAAGGAATACATTCATCGCGTGGGCCGGACAGCGAGGGCTGGCCGCAAAGGCATGTCCATTTCCATATTTCGCTTTCCGCGCGACCTGGAACTTCTCGGCGCCATCGAGACGGAGATCAATACAAAGCTTACAGAGCATCCAATAGATCGTATGTGATCAGCCTGCCTTATCCTTGTATCTCCTTGCTAAAATCCCTGTTTTGTATCTTTTAGAGCGAATGGTGGAGCGAATTTTCATGCAGGTGAATGTGACGCGACGCGAGTCGGAGATGCAGCTGGATAACAATGACTTTGATGAGCGTGCTCAAAACTACAGACGCAAAACGTGGATAATGGAGGGCAAGGATCCGGATGAAATGGAGGCGCTGTAAGCTGCCGAGTAGGCCATTATGGAATCATTTATTAATTCTCTTTATTTGTTTTTGCAGCTATCGCAAAAAGCAAAAGGATAAATTGAAAGAAATTCGTCGCAAACGGAAGCTTCAGCATGCAGAGTCCGCCACTGGTGAAGAGGGCAAGGTGTTCCTACAAGACGAACGTTTCAAGTCCGTGGACAGTGCGCGATTCGAGAAAAAAGGTAAAGCCCGCAGTCGGAGGCGACCTTCTAAGGATGGGATCGAAGATGAGCCCCCAAAGAAGCTGACTAGAAGCAAAACCAAGGTTTTAGGAGGCAAACAGAGGAATTTGAAATCGAAAGTGAAAGTTTAGGGACTTTTTAAATAAATGTTTATAGAATAACAAAATAACTTTTGAGCTTAAACTTCTAAGTAGTCTGCAAAATGCATCCTTAAATAATTTTAAAATTTCAGACATGCTAAGGCATCAGTAATCAGTCTAGGGCGATCGTCAGGAGGGCATCTTCGGGATGGACCTCAAGCAGTGCCTTGGCGCCATCGTTGAATGGATAGGATATGCTACCATCTATGACCAGATCTGTAAGCGAATGCAAATTGTAAATGCCACATAAAAGATGATGCCCATCGATTACTCACTGGCATCGATGCAGTGCGACTTGACAAACACATTCTGCACGAAATCACGCTCCTTAAATGTCTTCGGCGAAGGCCAAACGCCCACACATATCTGCTCCCTGATCGAGTAGCAGAGCCGCGGATCGTCTGGTGCAAACAGCAGACCTTGGTTGTATCGCTGGGCGATCTCCTCAGCATTCTCCCTTAGCCGGAGTACATCGGCGAAGTTGCTGTTTGGCAGCGATCGCAGCAAATCGTCTACGTCGCTGCTTGTGATGCGATTGATGCTGGTGTGCCACGAAGTAGAGCCAGTGCCAGTACTAACGCACAGTCCCGAGCACTTGGTTTTGTTCACCACATCCTGATGATCGAGCACAAGCTGCAGATGGGACACACGGGACGAGATGTGCTCGCCAATGAAAACCTGAAAATCAATGTCGCAGTTAGAAGTTTGTTCGTGTCTTGGACTCTTTCGCATTCACCTCGTTCAGAGCTAAATAGGGTAGGATGCGCTTCATCTTTGCCTTGTATTTGCTGGCCATGTGATTGTCCAGCATCTCGGGATCCGTTGTCACCTGCTCCATCTTGACTTCTGTGTGTCGGAACAGATCCGTGGACTCTGGAATCTTGCCATTGCTGCCCAGCAGCGTGGTGCGGACTCTCGAACGATGCATCCACTTGAAGTCCCCCTACAAAGCAAACAGAATCCAGTCACACACAGGCGGTAGAATCAAGTATAACACAACTTACGCTCTTGATGCGTGCCACTGCATCGGCGGGATTGTCCGAGTAGTGCTTGGGCAGCATGAGTCGACCCTCCGAGTGAAGCGGATCCGAGTTGAAGCCCACAATTGGCGTCTTCTGCTGGCTGAGCGCAAAGAGGGGACTGGCGCGGCCGGCGGACAACAGAAAGGTGCCATCACCGCCCACAGGAACGATGACATCCGCCCAGCTCATGACATCTTTGCTCAATGAGCTTCTAAATTCAAGTCTGCTCGTTTAGTAAAGTCAACAGCGAGGGGGCCACATGAGAGACACATTATGTGGATGGTGGAAATACAATTGTAGTAGTAGGTAGTAATCGTGGATTATGACGGCGACGACACAAGCACCACATAAACACAGCAACAGCAACATCGACAAAAGTTAGTTGGCCACACTCACACTCGCACTCACATTGAAGGTAGCGATACGCACCTGCTGGACAGCTTCACCTCACACCCGACATCCTGGAAGCTCTGCACGATGCGTCGCTCAAAGTCCTTGTGGAGATTGTGCAGATAGAGGACCATCTCCACATCGGTGCCCCGGTCGCGCAGCTTCTGCTCCAGCTGCTCCTTCGACAGACCCGGATGGCGTAGCTGCTCGAATTCATAGCGCGACATTTTGGTCACCACCAGGGCCCGCTTAAGCTTGAAGTTCGCGGGCGTAAACTTGCCATATTCTGGAACCAATTGAGCGCAATTGAAACTTGGTTAGTTCATCCTTTGCGGCGAATAATTTACTCAGCCCTTCTGGTAAAGTCCGCTTTGCACACAGGATCATGACATATGCGCCCGTTTGAAGTCGAACAAATAGTTTAAACAGAAATTGCTTAGCCTACAATGTGGGACTGGTCAAAGTACGGAGAAAGTTCATCAAGACAAAAGGCCCAAAGATTTAGCAAATAATCTTCAGAGGAGACTGTCATGTCGCGAGTCTCACGACTAGATAGGCAGGCATTAGAGTACAAATTTGGATTCCTAGCAATGCCAAAACACACATGCCTTACGCTCTGCCCAATCCGAGCTGATAATGATAATGGTGGAGTAACAAGTGACCACTCAACAGCGAGCAGCAAGTGTGTGTGGGTGCGCGTATAACCGAATGATTGGGGGGAGAGGAGATTGCCAACAAAAAATGGAATTGCGACCCAGACAGGAACGGAACTACAATCACCTTCTGTACGGAAGGGAACTGTCCTTACCTTTCGAAAATCGCTGCAGGAATTGCTTCGACTTCAACATGCTGGGCACTGACGAACAACAAACATTTATCTGAATGTTATACGTTTATTTCTTGTTCTTTCTGCACTTACAAAACTAAAAATAATTGAATTTTCTTTGTTCAGATAATTGTCGTATGGTCGTATGCCGGCATTCGACCAGAAATCAAAATAATTATTCACTTGAGGCTCTCGATATAAAGGGGAATATATCACTCGATCTGCCTGTCTATCCTATCCACTTCCATTCGATTCGGCTATGTCACTTCCACGTTCTAACTATTTAGCAGATTAACTGATTGATTATTATTTTACTCTGTTCTGCTTTGCTGTTCCTCCATCGGCGAATCGCTTCTGTATGAACATTCGCCTTTTGCTGTAAATTTATCGCCGTTTGTTTCTATTTTCGTCCGCTTTCGCTTCTCTTCTCACATCTCGGCTCGGCTGTCCATGAGTACTTTTTGTTGTGCATTGCTGATAAGCAGCTCAGCATGTTCTTATCAGCAAAAGTACGTATATAACAAAAAAATCTCAACTCTTGTGTTCTGATGTGGCATTCACACTACAGCCACCACTATACACTTCTCTTCTTCTTATCCTACACCACACCAACGCGCATTCACACACGTCCGGCAATACCGGCTGCCCGCTAATTCTTCCATGTTTGAATTGGCTACACTTAACCTATTGTCATGATATATTCTTAATAATAATTCCAGCGATGCAGCTAGTTTAATACACCATCAATGGCATCCAGTTTCACAAATGGCGCTGCTTGGGTACATTTTTATTATGCACACCGTAGTTTGGCTGAAAGTAATATGCGCATAAAATATACAAATTGAGAGTCTTTTTATTATACATTACCTTGGTTTGGGAATCATTTTCACCAGTAGCCAGCAAAAACAACACGTTCTGGGTCACTTTGCGAATATCGGCCGTTTTGCAATCGCTTAGACTCATACCAAGCGCCTCACCTACAAACATACCGCTCTTTGGAGGAGCTGGAGAACCCAATAATGCTTCAAGCTGTCCTTTGGCCGATGACTCCCAACGATTCTGACGTGAATTGATATTGATTGGACTTTTGGAGCGCATCTCGACACTGCTGTTCCAATTGTTTGCAACGATATTGGGTCTAGTGATGTTTGGATTATTCGAGAACATCCCACTAACGCTGCTCGAATTGGCTGTGCCTTGATTATTCTGGAGCATCCCGTCGAAGCTGTGTGAATTGCCAGATTCTTGATTATTCGAGAGCAACCCAAAAAAGCTGTTCGAATTGATGGATCTTTGGTTATTGTGGAGCATACCGCCGATGCTGTTGGAATGGACAGATCCTTGATTATTCTGAAGCTGCCCGCCGAAGCTGTTCGAATTGCCGGGGCCTTGATTATTCTGAAGCTGCCAGCCGTAGCTGTTCGAATTGCCGAGGCCTTGATTATTCTGAAGCTGCCCGCCGTAGCTGTTCGAATTGCCGGGGCCTTGATTATTCTGAAGCTGCCCGCCGAAGCTGTTCGAATTGCCGGGGCCTTGATTATTCTGAAGCTGCCAGCCGTAGCTGTTCGAATTGCCGGGGCCTTGATTATTCTGGTGCATCCCGCCTAAGCTGTTCGAATTGCCGGGGCCTTGATTATTCTGGAGCATCCCGCCGAAGCTGTTCGAATTGCCGGGGCCTTGATTATTCTGGAGCATCCTGCCGTAGCTGTTCAAATTGCCAGATCCTTGATTATTCTGATTATTCATCCCGCCGTAGCTGTTCGAATTTGAGGTGTTCATATGATGCGAGAGCATCATGCAGTTGTTGCTGTTAAAAGGTAAATTATTAGTATTCGAGTTGGCATTGAAGGTGGATCCATTGGGACCCAAGTTATAGTTTTGGAAGTCATCATTTGCGCTGTTTAATACGTTCTGCAGTTGACCAATGTTTGCATTACGTTCATTTAATTGAGAAGACACTTTCTGTTGGAACGAAACGTCTAGACCATGATGAAAACCAGCAGACACATGGTTTTGGTTGTAATTAGACCTGTTGTTGCGCTTGTTGATATTGTTAAGATAACCTTTGCCGCGCTTCTGAATCGGACCCTGGTTTTTCTGCTGAGGCTGCTGCTGTCCGCGAATGCCCCCGCTTGCAGGGGCCCTTATGCCAAGCCGCGATTTAATGCTCGGACGTGGTGGCGTACTAGGTGCTGCAAATTGTTCAGTACTCGCATCCACGTGATTAGCTTCCGCACGATCATTGTACATTAGCTGATCGAAATCATTCTTCTCAAAATTCAGCTGGTTCATATTTGATGCGTGCGCGGCGTCGTCCACATCAATACTTTTCTCCGCCGTAAGAAAGTTGAATTCACTATCATCGTCTTCGTCCTGAGATAATTCGGCGTCCTTGTACGACTGCAAATGCGCAGATTGTCGAGTACGGCTTGACATTGTCTTCAGTTTATTGGCTTTTCTGTAGTAAATGGGCATTTCGTCTTTTCGTACTTTAATGTAATCATCTGCGAAAATGAACGATTGTTCATTTGCACGCAAGTTAAGGAACATTAGAAAACTAATGTGAAAACGGCTTACCCAAGCTCCATAGTACGGTGTTTGCATTGAACTCCGTCATTTTGGTTAAAAACAACTGATTAAATGTATTTTGTGTATGTATTTCATGCAGAAGCGCGGCGTCAGAGAATTACAGTTATGAAAAAGGGTTGCATGTGGAGTCGCTGTCGGCTGCGATATCGTTTAACAGAACAGCACTGATCGATAGGAACATTATTTTTACTTAGCTCAAAACTTTAAACATAAAACGAAAAGAGGAAAGAATTGGTTGAGTCAAGACGACAATATAATGGACCTGGACAATAAAGTCGTATGAGAATAGATTTTAATTTTTTGGCGGGCAATTCTATTGATTGTGGGGTAAAGTCGATGCTCGGCTATTGTCCAACATTGATACTATCGATTGAGACATCGATTGCTTTTTTACAACAGCAGCCAACTTTCCCTAGTTCCGGCCACTTTTACGCTTATCGCACAAAAATACCGATATTTTTTGCAAGCTACCCTGTGCATTGATAGAGACAATCAAAAGTCAAATCTAATCTAATGACGTGAAACGGCAGAAAAAATATGTAAATTTTCTCCAAATTCAGAAAAGTATTCTTCCGTGGATTGTGTTCCTCAAAACAAGCAATTTTATAATTTTCGACAGTCGAAAAATATCAGTTAAGAACATTTGATTTGTATGGGAAAAATGTCAGCAACATGGGGAAATGAAGTAGCAACTTTGCATACCTTGGGAAAATGGATATTATGGACTTGAGATATTGTTTGTAATATCAGGCTCCAATTAATGCAGAAACTACTCAGTCTCTGTTTTCAAGATATTAACGAAATTTGGCAGCTGACGGGTTCCAATAAGAGGTATCAGAACCGGGATAAATGTATATATAAAACAGAAACATGTGCATTAATAGGTAAATAACATGTCAATCTAGGATAAATCATAAATAATGTTTCAATGGAGCTTGGAAGAACAAAATTAGCATAAATTAAAAGAAATAAGGTATACAAAAGTCCTTACGCATAAAAGAAACTTGGTTGGCCAGCAACATTGACGTCACATCTAGTCAACATTTACGTTTTATGCTTTGGCCGCTTTTGCTTGAACCTTAATATGTACACAATTATATGAAAAATAGTTCTGAAAGCTAGCCAATCCTAAACAAAATTCATTGAGGAATCGGATAAAATTATCTTTTTAGGGCTAAGAGGGCCAACTATCTAGTAATATTAAACTGAATATCAAAATGGACGAATTTCATATCACAAAATATCTCGGTATGGCAGCCCGCAGCAACTACGAATTGGACGAGTCTGGCAGCGCCACAAAACGACGTCACATTCGTTTTATGTTGTTTTTGTTTGAACCTTAATATGTAAATAATCCAATAAAAAGGACTTCCAAAACCTTGCCAATACTGTAGAAAATTTATGTATCTATCGGATAAAATTATTTGTTTAGGGCTGAGAGTCCCAGCTAGCTAGTAATATTAAACGGAATATCAACGTTGAATGTTTTGAAAAAACAATCGATACTATCGTGATAGCTCTAATAATTATTAAAAAACCATTGAAACCTTTTAGGACCTTGTCCATTGTAAAAATTAGATGCCACCTGTCGATGTGTTTACAAATGTGTCTACGTATTTTATAGCAGCCAATCCAAACATATAAAAAGCGCAACTACTGTAGCTCATGATAGTCTCAAAACCATCGATAGTAGAGGCTAGCAGCAAAATATCGATACTATCGATAGTGACCTCAATGCATTGACTCCTCGTGGCGTGGAAATTTATTAACACTCCGTCTGTCGACGTCGAAAAACCAACTTATAGTCATGCGGCCACCATGAACATGTTGGAAATAGCTGCACCGTCGGAAAAAACATAACCTCAACAAAAAGTGTCAAAGGCACGTGTCGACACGGAAAAAAATCAATATACGATTATCACCAGTATCTGATCAATGCGGCAATATAGCTGCGATCAAACCCCGTCATCCATACGACGATTTAATCACAAAAAATTTGTTAAAAAAATGTGAGTACCTGAATTAAAGAAATAATGTATTGAAAGATTGCATCGAATATAACTGCGAATTGGTTCATTAAACTTGTTTGCAGAACTCAATGTTGCAAGATTAAGTTGAGCGTCCGCAAAATGTAACTAGACCGATTGCAATTTACTTTGCAGTCACGTGGTCTAGAATCGTCTGCTGCTTAAACAGCCCTTTCGCCATTAAATCATCTATAATTTAATGTGTTCAATTATATTCCAGGTGATTTCTTGTGTATGGGATGCTGCGTCTGTACGCATGGCAATTGAAAATGGGTAAGTTTTAGCACTCTTTCTCAGTTTAAGTGCGCGAACACGAGTCGCTGGTGTAAAGAACTCTCCACTTTAGCTAGTGCTTTTTACTTGTTCGTAGATCAATTGTACTTTGCCCAAGCATAACCCAAATTTGTTATATCTGAATTTGCGGTGCATATTTTCTTTGTAAAGTCGACACTTTGAGCCCCTAAAAATATGTATACCAGAATTTTACCTGGACTGTACTAATGATGGATCCATTATTTTCTGTGCAGATACAAAATGAAAGACATGATATACCCAGCACGTGTTCTACAACTGAACTACAAAATGGTAATTATACAATTTATACTTGTGGGCGCAGTGGGGCAATACTCTGATGAATATAACTATTTTCTGACATCTCTTATGAACCGTTGTGATTCAATACTTAACTTCTGAAATCGTTCTAAATTAAATTTAGTTTTTTTAAAAATTTATTTGACTAACGAATGTTAATTTCTGTTTTGTAGGTAATCGGTGGATACCTAGAATCTTCAATTCAATGAAGACCATCTAAATCGGTCGTCGGCAATTCGCATGCAGTGTATGCATTGTACAAACACTGTTACACACGACACGTGTGCGAGATCGGGAAAGCAGCAGCAGCGTCATTTCTTATGCACATAAGACGGCCTTGCCGATCGCTGATCTAAATGGTAATTATAAAGCGATGCTCCGGCACCAACATTTAATACTCTGATGAATATCTTTATTTTCTGACATCTCTTATGAACCGTTGTGATTCAATCAATTTAACTATTAACTACTGAAGTTGCCAAGTGTAGTTCCTATTATTAGTTTGTGTTCAACTTTGTTAAATAGTTATCTCTCCTTTTTGCAGGTATTTTGGGTTTGTGACCGACGGAACACTATGGGCCAATTTAGGTTAGTATTGATTGACATTTGTAGGTGGCTGTATGGGAATTTCAATGATGATCACTTAAACCATTCACAGACACCATATAAAAGTCAAGTGTTGACAAACTTCTTCAATATTTTTTTGGAGATAGGGAGTCTCGCTTGACCGTGTATGGACCATGGTTAAAAAATTGGCACTGAGCTTCATATACAAACATTTTTATATTATAGATGTCGAATGCACCTTGCTAATAGTACATTTTCTATCTTTGCAGGTTCAACATGATACACTCTGGCGTCCCCCCCACGTGTCTCTCACCCAAAGACACGAAATTTGTGCACATAAACCAATAAATTATAATAAATGACTCCATTTAAAGTATTAAAAATCGTTTTTTACTAAATTTGCACGTTCTCTAAGGGCCAGCTCTTGGTCCTGCCTGGCGATCATGCGATCGCCCTTGGACTTCTTTCCAATGCCCAGCTTGGGCAGTCCGCGGTTGAGACCCTCGAGCAGAACGCAGGCTTTGCATGGTTGCTGGGACGAAACAAAGCCGCAGCGATTGCACGTGCCGCGCACAGGGTTTTTGGCCGTATCTTTGAAGCGTAATTGCTCGCCCGAGTAGATGATGTCCATTATGACGGAGGGGCGCACTTTTTCTAAATCCTTGAGGAAAGCCCGGGCGTGACCCCGATACGCATTTGGGGCAAAGACGCATTCTGTCGAAAAGTAGACGAGCTTCTTGTAGTGCGCGTACATGACGATCTCCTTTTTCGTAGCTATATTTGAGTGGCTTCACGCGGGGTATGGAGTCTTGGCCACCACCAGTTCTGATGTCTGTGCAACGTCGCAGACGAGCCGTGTCTCCACGCAGTACATTCATCAAAACGGTCTCTGCAATATCGTCCGCATTGTGACCAGTGGCTATGCTGTCGACGCACAACAGCTTGGCGCCCCTATCCAAGGCCTGGCGGCGAAATACTCCGCAAAACGTGCAGTTGTTGGAGCGTCCAATCTGCGATACAATGCGATCCATGGTCCAGCCGTATAGCTCTTCGTAGGACAAGATTTTCAGTGGCATTTTATAATCGTCACGGTTCCGTTTAACCGTCTCCAGACTGTCGTCTCGATAGCCAGTAATGCCCTCGTCAATGGAGAGCAAAACAAGCTCTAGTCCGTAATCGTGGCGCTCATTCAGCAGCTTCATCCTGCAATGTCAACAGTTAAACGGTGCTTAAAGGGGGATGGGGTTCAAAGATGAACCTACACGTGTGCCAGAACCGTCGAATCCTTGCCACCGCTTGCTGCTACGGCTACCTTCTCGCCCCGCCGGAACAGCTTGCTCGAGGTGATCGTGTGGTGGATTTCGGCCTCAAAGGCGGCAAAGAAACACTCCTTGCACAGGGCATCTCCAGTTTTTGGGCGCTGTGTAAGTGAAACACATTGATACTCATTGCGGGGTACATTACTTAAGACTTACCTTGAGGGCTGCTGCTTTGCCACATTTTGATTTGCAAGTTATAGGCATTTCCAAAGCACATTCGGATTTCGTGATGGATTGTTGTGGACCAACAGCACTATGAGTTTTCCAGCACTAGCAACAGCTCAGTTTACAGCACTGTCACTTCACAGCACTGTGTTTACGGTGCAAAATTATAAAAACAAAAGAAAATTATTTAGGATGAGTTCGAAAGAATCCAAGGCACTAATCAAGGATATTCGGGAGACAATCAAGCTTGGCAAGCATGCGGACGCCATTCACAAGTGCCAGGTGTGTACACGTCATTTCAATTAGTTGTTGCATTGCTAAAGTTGCTGCTTTCAGCGCCTACTAAAAGCCGACCCGAAGAGCAATGCTATGGGGTACTTGTTGCTTGGTGCCGCCTATCAGAACGTGGACAAGGAAGAGGCGGCAAAGAGCCTGCGAAAGTCGATTGAGTACACGGAAGGCCCCGCTACCGTTGCCCTGCAGGGACTCGCTAATTGCGCGCCCATTGCCGAGCTGCCAGAGATCTATAATGAGCTTGTGGAACTGCTACCGTAAGAAACTGTTGAAATGATGGACGCTCATCCAAGAGCTAATTTGCGAATTTCAGTGAAAAAGCCGTAGACTACTGGGAGAAGCTTTTCGCGCTGGCCTCGGATGCAACTGTGGCACCCCTGTGCTTTAAAGTGCTCAAAAAGCGGGCACAGAATCCTCACGATTCCCATTATGCCAAACTCCAAGAATATCTGGGACGCATTTGGTTTGCTCAGGATTTTGAGATATCGACAGAAGATAATGAACTTGTTGGTATCCCTTCTCGTAGCAATCGTAACACAAACTAATCCCAATTCCTCGAACTTGTAGTACACCAAAACGATGGAAGCGCTGCTGGACATCTCTGAGCCAAGTGTGAAGAGTTTGTTGTACAAACGCTACCTTAAATGGCTCTACAAGCAGAAGGACTATGTGGCCTGCGTACGCCACGCCTGCAACATGACAGTGTCCCATCCCAAGGATGTCTATGGCTACGAATGGATATGCAAGACATACTGCGAAAACCACAATCAGCCGGACAATGGTGCCTGGCAGCAGGAGCTGAAACTGCCAATCCAAGCATATGCCGATCACTTGCTGGAACTAAACCCCAGCTCCAACTTGGCGCTGCTGATTAAGGCATTCGATCTCTACGCCCAGGGCCAGTATGTTCCAGCCAGGCAATTTGCTGTGCATGCCCATCAGAGCCATCCCACTTACAAGGTGACACTGGAGCTCCTGGCCCGAATCCATATGGAGTTTGGGGCCTACAAGCTGGCTCTGCAACTCTGGCAGCAACTCGGCCAAACACATGCAATTTCTGTGGCCCAGTGTCTGTCTTATGAAAAGGATGAATCCAAATTGCGGGAAGCCGTCAAAGTGCTGCTGGGACAACACGATAAATCAGAACCGAATGTTCGAGCCTTGGCTCGGTAAGCTACCCCACCATATTCCGCCATTAATTGTATAGCCAAAGTCGTTCCTTTTAGCTGCTACTTCAAGTTGGGCGAGGTGCAGCTGCTCAAAGAGTTGCCATTGGATGCACTTTCCAAAGCGGAATTTCTCTTGTAAGCGAAGAATGAACATTTGTGGAAAAGTTTACCCATATTAATACCTCTTAATGCTCAGATCACCTGCTGAGGCCATTCAGGCAATTGGCAACGACGAGTCGTTTGAGGCGCTGCTGCTATGTGGCAAGCTGCAAATGGAGCAGAAAAACTATGCAGAGGCCCTCAGCTGCATGCTAAGGGCCGCTCGACTGCGGCCGCATGTTGCCGAGTGTTTCGACTATCTGGGTCGCTTGTATCCACTGGCCACTGGTGATGTGGCCCGCGCCCGCAAATGCTACGAGAAGTGCATTAGCCTCAATGCCCTGGCGGAGGAGGCTGTGGATGCCTTGAGCTTTATTTACCAGCAGCTGGGCGAGGAAGAACTGAATGAGACGCTCCTGCTAAACACCCTTCGGTATTTGAGTAATGACGAGTCCATCCGCTTGCAGTACAAGCTGGGCCTGCACTTTCTGCAAGTAAAGAAATGGGATAATGTACGTACATGAAATGGCACAGATCACAGATCAGAGTTTAAGTACGTACTTATAGGCAATCCAATGCTTTCGCATTGCCATCAAGCACGACTTTCGGTGCATGGTCTATTGGGAATCACTGGGCGATGCCTATGCGGCTCGAGGCGCGTACAACTCGGCTATTCGCGTCTTCCAGAAAATCCTCGAGCTGTCCCCAGTCAACTGTTATGCTCTGCTCCAGATAGCCGTGATCAAGACGGTAAGCAGAAATGGTTGCCAGCTCAGGTTATCTATTGATTATGTATTGTCTCCTAGACGATTCGCATGTACACCGAGGCGATGGAAGATTTCGATACGCTGCTCAAATTGAATCCGAACTACTTGCCGGGACTGAGGGGCGCCGCAGAGGCGCACATTGGCATGGCCAACAATCTGAAGTCCCAAAATCTTTACGGACGCGCCAAACAGCATTTCCAATCCGCTGTGGGACATCTGCAAAGGTTTGGCACCGTTCAGTCCTCAATGCATGGTTTATTTTACAAGTCTCTTGCAGCGCATTCACCCAGCCAGAGGCACAGGGCATGGTTTGGCTGTGGCGTCTCACGGCCAGTGTATTTCTGCAGACGGCACAGCTGCCGGCCTCCCTGGCAAACTTGGACGTGGCTGGCAGCTTGGCCAAGCGCGAGGAGGCGATTGCCTATCTATCACGCAAAGATCTCCTGCAACTGGCACAGCGCTTCTATCTGTGCGCCCTGAAACTGAAGCAGAACACATATCTGTGGTACGAATTGGCCCTGGCCAGCTATTACAGCGCTATTTTCGTTCCCGAAGAGGCAAAGAGCCACCTGGAAACGGCTGCTAAGGTGTGTAAGAGAGCGATCAAGGAGCAAAGCAACCGCTGGCAGAACTGGAACCTGCTCGGCGTCATCAATATGCATGCGGAGCACGAGAACTGGCCGCTGGCTCAGCACTGCTTCATCCAAGCGCTGAATCTAGATCGCAAATCCTTCACGACATGGACCAACCTCGGCGTATTGTACATCAAAGCGAACGACATTCGACTGGCCAATGAGGCCTTTAAGCGCGCCCAGCAATCGAGCCCGATTTATGCCAATGCTTGGATAGGACAGGCAATGGTAGCAGAACTGATTGGCGACCAGGAAGAGGCCTTCGATCTGTTCCGCCATTGCCAGCAGTTTGATTATCATCCGGAGGCGGCACTCGGATTCGCCTACTGGGTGTGTGCGGTGCTCTCTGATCCCGTCGCCCGGGCCAAGCCCCACAACAGACATGCGATTGGGCACATGTACGCGGATGTCTACGCATTGGATGCCATTAATTGGTACGTTGCATCATTCATAGCTATTTTCCTCCGAAATGTATTCCCTTTTTTGTACACAGGTATGTCCAAAACGAAGAGTCGGAGGCCAGTATTGCCTCACTCACGTTCCAGGGATTCTTGTGTGCCCGCAAAAAGCTTTACCATCAGGCCATCAAAGCGTATACACGCGCCTGCCAGTTGTGCGAGCCTGGCGCCGAACGGGACACATTGTATACGAATCTGGGGTACTTGTACCTAATACTGGACCAGCCGGATCAGGCAGTCAGCGCCTTAAATACAGTGTCCCATGCCACGTTTAAGCCCATCGTTGGCTTGGCCCTGGCCTATTACCGATCCGGTCAGCTGCAGGAATCGTATTCGATATACAATTCTGTACTGAACAATGTGGCGGGACAAGATGATGACAAGGCGGCCAACATATTGGTGGCGATGGCATCTATGATTTATGCCTTCCAAGGCGAGTCGGACACCAAAACACTACTCTATCAGTGGTCTGTATCGA